AAGTAGCTGGGACTGCAGGCACGTGCCACCACGCCCAGATATTTTCTCTTTTTTTTTGTAGAGATGGGGTCATGCTCTTGCTCAGGCTGGTCTTGAACTCCTGGCCTCCCAAAGTGCTAGAGTTACAGCACTGGCTAACACAGCTGGCTGGTTTTAATTTTTTTTGCTCTTATAATACTGACGAATATTTTTGTGTGCCTCTTGATACACGTCTAAGAGTTTCTCTAGGAAAAATAAGTGCATGTTCAACTTTACTATGTAATGCAAAATTACTTTCCAGAGATTACTACAATCAACAGACACTCCCACCATCAACACACTTTTTGTTCCATATACTCTATACTTGTTATGGCCAGACTTTAAAATTTTATTATTGTGATGTGTGTATATCTGCTTCCTAAATAGACTTTCAGCAAATCCTTTATCTCCCCTTCAAGAGGAGATGCTGTAGTACAAGAGCATTTTGGAAAATCTGTGGTGCAAATCGGGTTGCTTCTCAGCTTTCCACACTGCAGGAAAAAAAAAGTCAGGTTCACTAGGATAGCCATTAATCTGTTTTGTAGCTTTCAAAATTTTGTGGTTGTTTATTTCTGTCCCATTTTTTGTCTTTGTAAGATATCTTAAAACAATAAAACAAAACACAAAAAACACATAAACAAGCCAGGCACATGCCTGCAATCTCAGCTACTCAGGAGGCTGAGGCAAGAAGATTGCTTGAGCCCGGGAGTTGAGCCTGGGCAACATAGTGAGATCTTGTCTCTGTAAAAAACAAACAAACAAAAAATCCCCAGAAACCTTTAGCTGTGTTTTAATGCTGTTTTAAAAGGGACTTAGAGCTAAATGTATGTGTTCAAGGCATCTTAAATCATGCATTAATTTTTAAATTTTAGTAAATTTTTTATTTCAAAATGTTTTTTGGCTTTTCAAATCTATTTGGTTATTTTTGCTGCTCCTGTTTCTTGTTTACTTTTAGAGTCCATCTTTTTTTTTCTTAAAACATATATATATATAGCTATATTCTGCATGTGACAATTTCAATATCTAATATTGTCTTTGAAGGTCTATATGCATTGCTTACTTCTGACTCATTCAAATGGCGGCTTGTGACTTTGATAATTTTGTGAACACATATGTATTTGAGCTTAATCTGTGAGAATACTGAGATTTTAAATTAGGGCTTAGCAAACTATACCCCAAGGGCCAGATCCAGTTCACTGCCTGTTTTTGTAAATGTTTACTGGACCACAGCTATGCTCATTCACTTATGTAGCCTACAGCTACTTTTGCACTTTTTGAGTAGCTGTAACATTGTATGGCCTAAAAAGCCAAAAATATTTACTTTCTGGACCTTCAGAGAAAAGTGTGCCAACTTCTGATGTCAATTATGGATATTTTTTCCAGCGAATATTTACATTTGCTTCCGCCAGGACCCGGGGATACTAATGACCTGAAACAACCTTAGACTCCTGTTGTTGGAGACTAAGACCCTTCACATTCCAACGACTTGTCCTACTTGTCCTACGCACAGGCCTCGCCCCGGAAAATAGCCTAAGACGAAAATAGCACCCAGCCCCCCAGCTATAGTTCCAAGAAGAATGCATTCCATGCCATGCTTGCTCCAGGGCATGCCACCTGCAATTGTTCCCACCCCCCTGCCAGGTTGGGGTTGAGTGATCCATCACAAAGAGCTTCCGGTGCCATTGGGATGCTGATTGGGGCTGATTAGCCCACAGGAAAGCCTTATTATTCCCCCATTCTATTTTTCTGTTTCTACTTCCTTGTTTTCTGTTTTCGCTTGGTCTCGTTTCTTTCTCTGGCTCATCTCTTTCAGGCACGGTCCCCCCCCCCAGTAACAGAAGGTCCCGCGGGCCCGGACATCCTGTGAGAATTCATCTCAGATGTGTGAGCCCAGCAATAGATCAAAGGCCTTCTGAGTATCTATTCCACTATACTGCTAGAAGCAACAATGCAGTATCTTCTCTTTGGCTATATAGTTCTAATTTCAAGATGGTATGGATCTTTTATTAATAAAATTTATAATGGTGGATCCTTTCAACCCAGAGACACATGCTCTTTTGTGAAACTTTTCTTATATTATTTACTAATTAATTTCATTTTCTTAAGTCTTTTCTGTTTTTCTTAAACTCTTACTATTGAATGTTAGACCTTATTTGATTCTCTAATTTTATCTTTTCTCTCCTATTTTCTATTTCTTTGTCTTTTGGTTATACTTTTAGGGTGAATTCCTCAAGAACTTTATCTTCCACTCCTCCTAATGAATTGCTTTGGTTATCATTTTTAATTTCCAGGGGCAATTCCTTGCTCCAAAAATTTTCAAAACATCTTGTTCTCACCTTATGGATATAACAACTATCTCTCTCAAAATATTAATTATACTGGGGGTGGCTATTTTTCTGTTCCTTGCATTATATCTGCCCATCACCTCCCATGTTTGGTCTCTCATGCATTAGAGACTTTCCTCCAATTACCTGGTAATCCTGGGCTCTAAATTCACATTTAATAATAGGGTACTAAAGAGCTGAATGGAAAACCCAATGTATACATACATAATTTGGTAATTTGTGGGCTTCGTTTAAAAGTGATTAAGTGGCAAGCAGACTTTTTTTTCCTTCTCTTTTTAAATCAAAAGGCAACCAAACTTGAGTGTCTTTTCAAGTTTTCTCTGGGGCCAATTGGCTTGTCCAAAGAAAAAAATCCTGGCAGAGAAGCCTATCCTTGATTATTAGGATTCTGGGAACAAGGTTAGGGAGCCCACATACAGAATTCAGATTTTCACTTAACCCATATTTTCAATCCTATATCTTATCCTAGCCTTCGCTTATCTGTATCCTTATATCCTTATAGGTCTTACGATCTTCAGTTCAGTTTCTCAAGAGAACTAATCTCTGGCCTCCTCCTCCCTGAAAAGGTCCGGGTAAGGAAAGCGGTCACCTAACTTAAGTAGGGGTAGATTCAGAGTCCTAACCACCCCTTTTCTTTTTATGTCTCAAGTATCATGTCTGCATCTGAGCACCTTGTTCCTTCAGGCACTGAGCATCTTGTGTCTGGATACTGCAAGGTATCTTGGCTTCATTCTCATTGCACTGCCGCTCAGATTAGAGCTTCCTTGGTTCTGGTTCTGCTAAGTCAGTTGGTTATTTTGTTTTCCAAAATTTTTTTATTGAACTCTTGTTCTTTGATTTCTTATCTCTTGTTTTATTTGTCATTGTTTAGTTATACTTTACAAGATTTTAAGAAAGAAAAAAAAAGGATAATCTGCAGCAGTTAGCTGAAAGTCTTCAAAGTGAATTGTGAATAATCCTAAAACACAGGACATGGAAATGTTTTCCATGTTTTTCCCTTCCTGGAAGCACTTTAATTAAAACCACCCACTTCACCTAAGAGCCAAAACAACCTCAGTTATGATTCTTATTAGAGATTTGTTAATATAGCAGATCTACACTTTAAGATGAAAACAAAATAGAACAAAGAATAACCAACCATTGAACAAATAGGACACTGAATATATTTACAAATATATTGGCAAGATACAGAAATCTGCAATGCAAGTCACATTTTAATATAGTTTAAAAAACACTTCCAAATATAACTACAAATTTAGTCAGGAAAAATACCTGAAAGAAACATCTTAATTAACCATTAGTACATTACTGTAAAGGATTATTCCCCTGATTCCTTGGCTTACTACATTGGGTTTATAAAGGTATAAACCTACTGATTTTTTCATTTGAATATTTTATACTAAATGTAGTTTCTTCAGCTGATAATTTTAAATAAAACTATTGACTAAAATCATGTTTTAAATAGGGAAAGCTTTCCCTTACTAAGTTAGTAAAAACTGTAAGTGGGTATTTTCAAACTTATGATTACTATAAAGTAGTAATTAGTAAAATCCACATTCTCACAAAAAACATTAGTGTTTCTTCTTTTGCAAAAATCTTTATAAAAAATGTACTCTGAGTGCAATAAAATCTTTGTATTTGTGTTTTAAAAATCAACTAATAGACATACCGATATAATTCATGAAATTAGAGCAAATATTTTAACAGTATCAGGTTTGCTTTAAAAAAAAAATTACTGTGGAAGACATCCAAGTGGTCTAAAATGCTTTTGTTGTGGCAGCAACAAGGCTTTAGGCTGATCCTCACACTATTATTAAAGCAGTCCTTCCTTGCTTTATAGTGAAAAATCAGTGCATATTCCTTTATTTTAAAAAATTATCAATTTATGGACACGCTTGAAGCTCTTACCCGAGGGGGGAGGGGAGGCATGGGCAATATATGTAACCTTAACACTTGTACCCCCATAATATGCTAAAATAAAAAAAATTATCAATTGCTCACCTTGTAAACATAGATTGGCTATGATAAATCTATTACTTGCTAAATTGGGTGGGGGTTTTTCTAGTGACCTAAAAGAAATGTTAAAACCCATACCAGTGTCAGGAAGTTCTAACACAGGTCAGAAAAGTGGGAGAGAGATCAACTTTTTATGGAATGAAAGAGCAACAATTTTAATATCTATTTTGAAAAACTGAAACATTTTGGGCTCAATCAGTCTCTACTACTTTTAAAACACAGCAGAAAACCAAAAATATTAAAACATTAACCCCATCTTATTCTCAAAGACAATTTTCTGCTACATAAATAAAAAGTGCTTGTAACTAATAATATACAACACTAAAAATGTCAACTCCTAAGATCATGAATGGCCTATTTCTCATTGCCAGCAATGAGAAGGGTATATGCTAATGGATGCCATAATATTCACAAAAGACAAATGTATAGTCAATTATTATTTCCTATAGTTCTAACATTATCATTATACCATGGAGCATAAAATAAATTTTCTTTTGACATGGTGATTAAACAGATTGTATTATTATGGCAGAGTAAAAGGCAAAGAACTCCTACTAGGGATTTCTGACCATTAGGTGTTTGTACTAGATCACAATGAAGATAAATATGACTAGAACACAATTCAGAAAAAAAAAGACTAATTTATTTGTTTTATAAAATAGAATGAGATCTTAGTTTAGATATTCAAGAGGTGACAGCTTTAGGAATCATCTTCACCAAGAATATATTCATAGTATTTCTTATTCATTTAAAGAAGACAGGAAGTGAAATTCTAATTCCTGCAGCCTGCCCTGTCACTTCAAAAATTCTTAAGGAAGCTAAAATAAAAAATACCTTGGATTTTGGTTACTCTTAAGTCAAAATTTCCAGATGTCCCGGAAACAGTAAGTTCACTTTGCAATTTGGTGTCTTATTGTGTTCTGGCAAAGATTATAGCACTATGGCCTCGGCTTTCAAATGCTGTGACCAATTATCTGAGAGTTGTAATCTGCAGGCTCCATTTTTAAAATGTGTGGGATGACACTGTCAATTCGTACATTGCCAATGAGGCCTTTGAAAAACAATTCTTCAGTGATGGTAGCATTCATCAGTCTCAAAGCTGGCAATCTGAGTAGGAGTCTGGATAATCTAAAAAGAAAAAAGGAGGAGGAGGGAAGAAGGTTGTAAATCAGAAAGATTTAGTAGAAAAATGACTAATTTCTGCATGTATATTATTTGTGGCCTAATTTAATAACAGTGAAATATTCAAAAGTTAAAGCCAAAACCTGAGTATTCTCAAGACTTATAGTACATGACAATCACATAGATATTAATGCAGTCTGACAGACTCCACAGGAAAGTCTTGCTCTTAACTACTACGCTGTGCTGCCTCCACTTGGCTGTAAGGACCATGGAACTGAGTTATTAAACCATGAGTTGAGCTATACATTTAAGAATAGCTTAGGGGGGAGGGGGGCGGGTATATACATACATAATGAGTGAGATGTGCACCATCTGGGGGATGGTCATGCTGGAAACTCAGACTTGTGGGGGGAGGGGGGGAAAGAGCATTTATTGAAACCTTAAAATCTGTACCCCTATAATATGCCGGGGAAAAAAAAAAGACTAGCTTAGCAACTCTTTCAGGTTGAAAGAATAGCAATATTTTGTGTTATCAGGACATACCAGGTTCAATAATAACCGCTTTCTTGGTTTTGCTCTGCAAAAAACTACTGGAAATGGCAAAACAGGCAACAGTTGTTACTACTAGAAGAGCACAGACTATGGAATCAAGACCATTGTATTCAAATCTTGATTCAACTGCCCCATAGCTATGTGAATGTTTGCCAGCCACTTACTCCCTGTCTCAAGTGCTGCTGTGAAGATGAATGAAATGCTTCCTGCCTGTTTGTCCTAGGTAGCAAGGTTTTGTAGAGCAGGACTATGTCTTGTATGAAAGCACATTTTAAGTTGAAAACTGCTATCCAAGGATAATTTATTATTTTTAAGTAACTAAGAATGTAAAAACTGACAAAGTGTTCCAGTTCAAAGCATCCACAACCTAATAGAACAGCTGTATGTCAAAAGGAGGAAAAATTTAAATACTGTATGTATTTGTATAATGTCGCATAAAGCAACTTTTGAAACATTAAAAAAAACTGAGAAAAAAACCACAACAAAACCATCTTTCCAAAAAGCTTGTGGTAGGTTTATCCTTCTTCTTTCCTAAGGCCTGGCACTCTAACTCTTGAGACCAAATGAGACCAGCAGCTCCCAAGATTAAGTGATCTTCCTGTAGCTATGTACACTACTTCTCAAACTTCTCAGTTCCTGTTCCTAGGAACTGATCTGCATCCACAGAACTGGTAGGAAGCAGGATAGGAAAACAAGTGAGATAAACTAAGGCTGATTTTCTTTATGGAACTGGCTTATAAACTACATTATTTAACATATGTAAAAAATTATTATATGTAAAATGTTCTTTTACTGGTTTGAAGTATCATAAACTAATAAAAATATTTTACTTACTATAAGCAAATACACTCATGTATAGCCCTTACTACATAACAGGCTAAGTTCTAAGTTCTAAGTACTTTATTGCTCTGGCTCTCATAGCTCTGTGCTTTACTCTGATACCCTGTCCCTCTTCCAAAATTGAGAGGCTCTTATAAGAAAATAATTTTTTTCAAAGGACATTGGCAAGAAAGAACTTGGAGGGTATATCATAAGCATGTTTCAAAATTAAATAAAACATTCTAATTGTGTTTGATTTCCCCTCCCTCTTTTTACTAATAAAATCCATTATTTCATCTGAAGAAAAAGAGTTTGGGCTCTAGAGTAAGACTACCCGGGTTCACAGTCAGGCTCTACCATTTATTGTATGAACTTGAGCAAGATACTTAACCTCTCTGTGCTGAAGTCTGCTCTTACCTAAAACGTGAAAATTGGATGAAATATTACATTCAAACTATTACAACAGTGTAATATTTATTTTTATAGTATTTGCTATCTCAAAGGTCAAGGTTGCCCAAAACATTTAATTCCTCTTAAAATAGAAAATAATGAAACAACAGATTCACAAAGTTTTTAACTGAATTTAGTTATTTAGTGTATTTAACTTCTAGATACCTGTAGGTGTCATCTGGATATGTTCTGGTTATATAATCTTGGAATTCCACATATGCCTTTTCCTGAAATTTCTCAATCTGTTCCATGTTTTCTAGGCCTGGATGATCTGAAACATTAAAGAATATATCGTTACTCTAGTTCTGAATGCTCATTTAAAGGAATAGGAAGAATAGTTCAGTCAAAAAAGAAGCCTCATCATATAATGTGTGGCTCTTTCATTCCATAAATATTTATTGAGCCTGCCTACTATATATTAAGCACTGTATTTTACATACTTGAAATTATTCCATGTCATATATATATATGTGTGTGTGTGTGTGTGTGTATGTATTCTAACATCTAATAACAAATGAGACCACTGGGTATTACCAAAATAAACAGGTTTCCCTCTGTTTCCAAAAGTAGTGAAAGGGATTTTGATCATTTTGTATTTTACAGCAGTAAAAAGCTAAAATGACAGCCTAGTTAAAGAAAAAATTTTAATCCATGAAATATTTGCACATTATATTCATACCATATTTTCATAAGAAAAAAATCCCACTATTATATAAAAAGGTACTTAAAAATTATGAAACCATGAACGTTCATCTCTATCAGAAAAATTATAACATAGAAATATGAAATAATCTATATAAGCATTTCATTGGTCACTATAACATCTGACAAAAATGGAAATATTAAAAAAACTTCATAAAAATTATGCCTAACTTAAGAAATGTTGAAAAATATGCAAAGTTCTGTTCTCGTGAAACTAAAAAACAAATAGAAGGCCGGGTACAGTGGCTCATGCCTGTAATCCTAGCACTCTGGGAGGCCAAGGCAGGCGGATTACTCGAGGTCAGGAGTTCGAAACCAGCCTGAGTGAGACCCCATCTCTACCAAAAATAGAAATAAATTAATTGACCAACTAAAAATATATATAGAAAAATTTGGCCAGACATGGTGGTGCATGCCTGTAGTCCCAGCTACTTGGGAGGCTGAGGCAGTAGGATTGCTGAGCCCAGGAGATTGAGGTTGCTGTGAGCCAGGCTGATGCCACGGCACTCACTCTTGCCTGGACAAGAAAGTGAGATTCTGTCTCAAAAAAAAAACAAAAAACAAAAAAACCCAAATAGAGAATACTAAGTAAAATAAAATTACATTATAATTCTACCTTCAAATCTATATTCTTTCAATTTTCAACTAAGGAAAATGAAGGTGGCAAATTGTGTTAAGAATGGAAACACATGTTATTAACTCATAGGAAACCTTACAATATATGGTACAAAAAAGTTTTAGTGACCTTATTGGTATCACCACTGAGGCAAAGGTTTCCTCAGATAATTTTATTATGGTGCACAGGAACAGAAATACATATCAAAATAAAAATTCAATTTTGCTTATTCAGAAATTGATCATTGAGGGCTTACTGTCCTCTTACTAAATAAGCAGGAAAATAAGAGACTTATTTTTCTATTTGCTGGCAACTCTAAAAGATGTTTGGAAATTTAACCCACTAACACAGCAATACTCATCTCTCAGTCTGCCATTTAATAATGCCTAAAAAAATATACCTAAGAATTCAAATGTTGATGTGAAAACAGAAATTAGAAACATGTCCATAATGTCATTTCGCTAATTTATTAATCTTCCTTTTCATGCCCAGATAAATGTCTAATATCTTTAAAATCCACCAATTTAAAGTATACAGTTTAGTGGTTTTTAGTATATTCACAGAGTTGTGCAACCATCACCACAATCTAATTTTAGAACACCTCTGCACTCCAAAAGAAACTCTCTACCCACTAGTAGTCACTCCCCATTCTACTTTCTCCTTAGCCCCCGGCAACCACTTATTTATTTTGCCTCTACAGGTTTGCCTATTTTGCACATTTCACATAAATGTAATAAAAAAATATGTGGTCCTTTGTGATTGCCTGCCTTCTTTCACTTAGCAGAATGTTTCCAAGGTTTATCCATGTTGTAGCAAGTATCAGAATATCATTCCTTTTTAAGGCATAATGATATTGTATTGTATGTATATATTACATTTTGTTTATTCATTCATCTATTGATGGTCACTTAGTTGTTTCTACTTTTTGGCTATTATGAATAATGCTGCTATGAATATTCATATACACATTTTTGTGTAGATGTGTATTTCCATTTCTCTCAGGCTGACAGAATTGAAACTGCCAGGTCATAAGATAACCCCAATATTTAACATTTTGAAGAATTACTAAGCTTTTTTCCAAGACAATTGTACCATTTTACATTCCCACTGACAATGTATGAGGGTTCTAATTTCTCCACATTGTGTGTTAAATAAAAAGTAAATGTTTTTTACCTGGACTGAAGAGTACTATTGCCTTCAGGTAGGCATATTCATATCCATCAATGCAGAGTTTAACCATGCTGTTACAAAACTCCTGTAGTTTAAAGATGTGTTCCATCAATATTTTTCTTCTTTCTGTTGACATTTTATCTTTAAAAACAAACAAATGCCTCTAGTTTTTGTCTAAAATGTATGACTATTTTCATGCAATATCACTAATTTCCAGCTTTGAATATAACCAATACACAGATATTTAAAATTTGCTGTCTCCATAATTATAAATGAAACTAACTATCATCTTTAGATATTGTTCATTCAAGAAAAATGGGATATATAGCTAGCAAGGGGCAGAGAGAAGAGGAGACCTGAAGATTCAAGGATTTGGGGAGTTTCAGAGGAGAACGCAAAGGAGTAGGATATCAGCAGAGATCAACCCACAAGAGGCTTAGAGTCCAGAGAGAAAGGTAAATGGAGCAGTTTGTTTCTCCCTTCCCCACATCTCTGGCAGTCAGTGGGACCTGAGCTGCTGGAGAGCAATTCTACCCTCACAAACCCAAAAGCTGCTACCATCAGTGAACTGGGGGCTTCTTGAGGATGAAGCACCAGACTGTCGGTGCCCTCAGGGTCACTTTCCAACACCACAGACCCCAGCCAAGAAGGCAGGCGCCATATTGCTTCTCCACCCACTGTACACCTTTGTCCTCCCCAAGGGGCTTCAGCCCCTCAGTTTTCATCTTGCTAGCTCCCACGCAAACATTTTTCTACTACAGCACAGACTGCGGAAGCCATAGAGAGCCACTGGGGTATTTGTGTGATCGCAGAGTCTGGACGCTCTGGATATTGTATTTTAAATAAGAATTTAAAATTCTGCAGAGAGGGACAGAAATGACGAGAGAGTTAGCTTTCTTCCACTCAGACCCTTTTCCTCTATTTCCCCTGCCTCATCCATGGCTGCTGAGAGACGAATGGGCTGGGGTTTGCAGGAACTGCTTTTCCTCTCAGTTGCTACATCCACCATACTGCGGCCCACACAGAGTGTGGGGCTCAAGTCTTTCTGGACTCTGTTTCTCCCCTTCCTGAACCCCACCTGTGACTGCTGAGATAGATAATTACGCTACTGCGCTGAGGCTTCAACAGACAGTGGGCCTCAGGCCTTTCCTCTGGGGGTCCCGCAGTGGACTGAGGAGTGTTTGGACTGTGAGCTCCCTGTCTGCTGGCCCTGGTGCAGTTTGCCCAGCAACACCATTAGGGTGGGACATATCCCAAGGTGTGGGACATCAAACCTGCCTGGGCACCCTGTGGGAAACTTGGGACCAGTGTGCCTCTAGCTGGCATGGTCAGGGAGTGATCTTTGGGGAACCAGAGACGAGCCACAGGCCAGATCCCATACCCCAAGATCTCAGTCGCATTCCTCGGGAGCAAGGAGGGAGATTTGTGATTGGGTGGGGCCACTGTGGAGCCTCCCTGGTGACTTTGCCTGGAAGCTGGGAGCAGACCTTTGACCCCTGCTGAAACATATACCTTGGCAGCTTTGGTGTAGCCTAAGGGCAAGGTCACTCAACCCAGCCCTGCCTAGGCACACTCACACAACTGACCTCTGCTGTGGCAAAGAATAAGGACTCACCTAAAGTTCTACAGCCCCACCCACCCCTTGGGGCAATCAAGTGCTTCTCCTAAGGAACTAGAGCTGGTCACAGGACCTAAAAACAACACTGTAGCTTGTTTCTTCCCACAAGTGCCACCTATTGACAGGGAACTCAATTTGTACACCCTTTATAGCATTTACCGACTCCATCATATAGGGTGTAATTGGTCTCATTCACAAGCACTAGCACTGTCTCAGATATTGAATTGGGTATGCAATTATCTAATCAAAAGGAAACAAAAATATAAGAAACAAAAGCTGCTCCAGATGAGAAAAAATCAGCAAAAGATCTCTGGATACATGAAAAAGCAGAGTGAAAAGAAACCCACAAAAGAAAACAATAACTCTGTACCAATGGAAACCAACCAAAACAAGAATACTGAAATGAACAATAAAGAAATCAGAGTATAGATCGTGCTCAATGAAATACACAAAAAAAATAGAAACCTAGCACAAAGAAACCACAGAAACAATGTAGGAAATGAATGAAAAATTCACTAAATAAATTGAAATTATTAAAAAAAAATCAAGCAGAGCTTCTGAAAATAAAAATCCATTTAAGGAAATACAAAACACAGTGGAAAGCCTCAAGAATAGGCTAGATCAGGCAGAGGAAAGAATCTCAAAGCTAGAAGAAAACATCTTTGAATTAAGTAAGACATTAAAAGAGAAAAAACAGAGAAGAGGAATTATAAAAAATCCTACAAGAAATACAGGATTGGTGGGGTGTGGTGGCTCATGCCTATAATCCTAGCACTCTGGGATGTGAGGCAAGAGGACTGCTTGAGGTCAGGAGTTTGAGACCAGCCTGAGCAAGAGACCCCATCTCTACAACAGACAGGAAAATTAGCTGGATGTGGTGGCACATGCCTGTAGTCCCAGCTACTCAGGAGTCTGAGGCAGGAGGATCTCTTGAGCCCAGGAGTTTGAGGTTGCCGTGAGCTAGGCTTACGCCATGGCACTCCAGCCCAGGCAACAGAGCGAGACTGTCTCAAAAAAAGGGGGGGGAGGGTGGAGATTATGGAAAGAGGCCTAACCTAAGAATCATAGGCGTCGCTGAGGGTGAAAAAGAAAATATGCAAGGCTGGAAAACTTATTTGAGGGAACACTTGAAGAAAATTCCCCAGGTCGTGCTAGAAATCTGGACATCCAAGTACGAGAAGCACAATGGACTCCTGGGAGATTCATTGCCAAGAGGCAATCAACATGGTGATACTCATTGGATTGGCCAAAGTTAACACAAAAGAGGATTGTCTATAAACCTTCTATGAACCATAAGGCAAAAGCATCAGGTAACTTACAAAGCAAAACCCATCAGACTAACTGCAAACTTTTCAACTGAGACCTTATGAGCCAGAAGGGACTGAGAACCCATTCTCAGTCTTCTCTAGCAGAATAATGGCCAGCCTAGAATTATGTATCCTGCAAAACTAAGTTTCTTATATGAAGGAGAAATAAAGACTTTCTCCAACAAGCAAACACTGAGAGAATTTGTCAAGATCAGACCTGCCCTGCAGGAAGTACTCACATCTGCATTATACGCTGATCAGCAAAACAGACACCAGGGTAAAACCATCCAAATGCTAAAGTTCAGAGCCCAGTTACCACATTGGCTCAAGAGGTAAAACAAAGCAATAAAGTTCTAGGCAACAGGGTGAACAGAAATCCACCCTACTTATCAATTATTTCAATAAATGTGAATGGCTTGAACTTATCACTGAAGAGACACAGGCTGGCTGAATGGATAAAAACATACAAACCAAGTATCTGCTGTTTCCAGAAAACACATCTAACAAACAAGGACCCATTTAGACTCAAGGTAAAGGGCTGAAAACAGTATTCCATGTAAATGGAAACCAAAAGAAAGCTAATGCTGCCATTCTCATTTATATAACACAAATTTCAAATCAACAAAAGGAAAGAAAGATAAAGACAGTCATTACATAATGGTGAAGGGAACAATTCAAAAAGATATAACAATCCTAAATATCTATGCACCTAACACAGGTATGCCCAGCTTCATAAAGCAAATCATACTTGACCTAAACAATATGATAAACAACAGCACTGTAATAGCAATAGCCGGGGACTTCGAGACCCCACTGACAGAACAGGAGATACTCTAAGAAAATAAACAAAGAAACAATGGATTAACAAATGGGCCTAACATTTACAGAACATTCTACTCCCAAACTACTGAATATACATTCTTCTAATCAGCTCACGGAACATTCTAAGATTGATCACATCCTAGGCCACAAAACATGTCTCAACACATTTAAAAAAAAAGAAATTATACCACATATCTTCTGAGACCACAGTGGAATAAAATTAGAAATCAGTTGCAACAGAAACACTCAATTCTACACAAATTCAAGAAATTAAATAATCTACTGCTGAGATTATTGGGTCAAGGAAGAAATTAAGAAGGAAATCAAAAGATTCTTTGAATTAAATGACAAAGGGGACACATGTTACCAAAATCTGTGGAATTCTGCGAAAGCAGTCCTAAGAGGATAATTCATAGCCTTAAATGCCTATGTCCAAAAGCAGAAAGATCTCAAGATCAACAATCTAATGAATCATCTCAAGGAATTGAAAAAAGAAGAGCAAACCAATCCCAAACCCAGCAGAAGAAATAACTAAGGTCAGAGCAGAATTAAATGAAATCAATACCAAAAGAATTATACAGAAGATTAATGAATAAAAAGTTGGTTTTTGAAAAGATAAACAAAATTGATAGACCTCTCAATATATTAACCAGAAACAGAAAAGAAAGGACCCTAATAAGCTGAATCAGAAATGAAAAAGGAGATATTACAACTGATACCACAAAAATACAAAATATCATCTCTGAAGATTATAAAAATTTCTTTTCACATAAACTAGAAAACGTTGAGGAAATGGAGAAATTCTGGGAAATACACAACTTTCCCAGGCTCAATCAGGAAGAAACAGAACTCCTAAACACACAGTATCAAGCAACAAAATTGAAGCAGCAATAAAAAATCCTCTAACAAAATAAGTCCCAGACCAGATGGTTTCATACTGGAATTTTACCAGGCCTACAAAGAACTGGTACCTATACTGCAGAAATTCTTTCATTAACATCAAGAAGGAAGTCCGGGGCGCGGTGGCTCATGCCTGTAATCCTAGCACTCTGGGAGGCCAAGGTGGGCGGATTGCTCAAGGTCAGGAGTTCGAAACCAGCTTAAGCGAGACCCTGTCTCTACTAAAAATAGAAAGAAATTAATTGACCAACTAAAAATATACATACAAAAAATTAGCCAGCACATGCCTGTAGTCCCAGCTACTCGGGAGGATGAGGCAGTAGGATCCCTTGAGCCCAGGAGATTGAGGCTGCTGTGAGCTAGGCTGATGCCATGGCACTCATCTAGCCTGGGCAACAAAGTGAGACTCCGTCTAAAAAAAAAAAAAAAAAAAAAGGAGGAAAGAATCCTTCCCAACTCATATGAAGCCAATATTACCTTGATACCAAAACCAGGAAAGGACACAACAAAAAAAAAGAAAACTACAGACCAATATCCCTTATGAATGTAAGTGCAAAAATTCTCAAAAAAATCCTACGAAACAGAAGTCGGCTACATGTAAAAAAATAATATGCCATAACCAAGTAAGCTTCATCTTGGGGATGCAAGGTTGCTTCAACATATGCAAATCCATAAATGTGATTCACCTAATAAATAGAAGCAAAAACAAAGTCTATATGATCCTCTCAATAGATGCAGAAAAAGCATTAGACAAAATTCAGCACCCTTTTATGATAATGACTCATAAGAAAATAGGCATAGGCTGGGCGTGGTGGCTCATGCCTGTAATCCTAGCTCTCTGGGAGGCCGTGACGGGCGGATTGCTTGAGGTCAGGAGTTCGAAACCAGCCTGAGCACGAGCGAGACCCCACTCCACTATAAATAGAAAGAAATTAATTGGCCAACTAATATATATAGAAAAAATTAGCCAGGGATGTGGCGCATGCCTGTAGTCCCAGCTACTCGGGAGGCTGAGGCAGGAGGATCGCTTGAGCCCAGGAGTTTGAGGTTGCTGTGAGCTAGGCTGATGCCATGGCACTCACTCTAGCCTGGGCAACAAGTGAGACTCTGTCTCAAAAAGAAAGAAAATAGGCATAGATGGAACAAACCTCAAAATTATAAAAACCATTTACACAAATGCACAGTCAACATCATACTAAATGGGGAAAGCTCGAAAACATTCCTGCTTAGAACTAGAACTAGATGAGGTTGCCCACTGTCACCACTTCTATTCAACATTGTGCTAGAAGTCCTAGCCAGAGCAATCAGGCAAGAGAAAGAAATCAAGGGTATCCAAATGGGGATAGAAGAGGTCAAATTATCGCTCTTTGCTGATGATATGATTTTATATCTAGAAAACCCCAAAGACTCTGCCAAGAGACTCCTGGAATTGATAAATAAATTCACCAAAGTCTCTGGTTACAAAATCAATATACACAAGTCAGTACCATTCTATACACCAACAACAGTCAAGCTGAGACTCAATATCTTTCACAATAGCAAAAAAGAAAATAAAACAGTTAGGAATATATTTAATCAAGGAGGGGAAAGACCTCTACAGAGAGAACTACGAAACAATGAGGAAGAAAATCACAGAGGATGTAAACAAATGAAAAAATATCATGCCCATAAATCAGCAGAATCAACATAAGAATGTCTATACTACCTAAAGTGATTTACAGATTTAATGCAATCCCCATTAAAATACCAATGTCATTTTTCAGATCTAGAAATGTATGTAACCAGAAAAGAGCCTGAATGAATAGTCAAAGCAACCTTAAACAAAAAGAACAAATCTAGAGACGTCACTTTACCAGACTTCAAACTATACTACAAGGCTATAGTAACCAAAACAGCATGATACTGGCACAAGAACAAAGACATAGACCAATGAAACAGGACTGAGAGTCCAGACATAAAACCATTCTCATACTACAGTCTGATCTTTGACAAAGCAGACAGTAACATACACTGGGGGAAAGAATCCCTATTCAATAAACGGTGCTGGGAAAGTTGGATAGCCACATGTAGAAGACTGAAACAGGATCTGCACCTCTCGCCACTCACAAAAATTAATTCATGATGAATAACAGACTTAAGTGTAAGGCACAAAGCTATAAGAATTCCAGAAGAAAATCTTGGAAAAACTCTTACAGATACCAGCCTAGGCAAAGAATTTGTGAAGAAGACCCCAAAAGCAATCACAGTAACTACAAAAATCAATAAATGGGACCTAAATAAATTGAAAAGCTTCTGCACAGTCAAGGAAACAATCAATAAAGTGAATAGACAACCTATAGAATGGGAGAAAATATTTGCATGGTATAGATCTGATAACCAGAATCTACAAAGAACTCAAGCAAATCAGCAAGAAAAAAAAAAATCAAACAACCCCATTAAAATGTGGGCAAGAGACACGAACAGAAGCTTTTCAAAAGGAGATAGACTAGTAGTCAAAAACTTATGAAAAAATGCTCAGTTTCTCTAATCATCGGGGAAATGCAAATCAAAACCATAATGAGATATCACCTAACTCCAGTGAAAATGGCTTTTATCAAAAAGTCCCAAAACAACAGACACTGGCGTGGATGCAGAGAGAAAGGAACACTCACACACTGTTGGTGGAACTGTAAACTAGTATAATCTCTATTGAAAGTGGTAAGGAGATGATACCTCAAAGAAGTAAAAGCAGCCCTAACATTTGATCCAGCCAACCCACTATTGGGTATGTACCCAGAAGAAAAAAAGTAATTTTACCAAAAAGACATTTTCACTTGAATATTTATTGCAGCACAATCGTAAAGATGTGGAATCAATCCAAGTGTCCATCAACAAATAAGTGGATTAATAAAATGTGGTAAATGTACACCACGGAGTACTACTCAGCCATAAAGAATAATGGAGAACTAATATCTTTTGTAACAACCTAGATGGAACTGGAGACCATTCTTCTAAGTGAAGTATCACAAGAATGGAAAAACACATACTGTCTAGTAAGATGGAACTAATTGATCAACACTCATGTACACAATATGGAAGTAAAACTCAACAGAAACCAAGCAGGTGGAAGGAAGGGGGAAGGTGAGGATGGGTAAATTCACACCTAATGGTTGCAATGTACATTATCTGGGTGATGGGCACACTTATAACTTTGATTCAAACCGTACAAAAGTAATTCATGTAACCAAAACGTTTGTACCCCCGCAAAAAAAAAAAATAAAATAAAAAGCCTCAGGGATAAAGAGCAATGTAATTATGCCATGGATTAAATCAGTATTTAAGACTAATTTTGACACTTGCCTTGAGTAACAAAAGTTGGATAGAATTAAGCAGGCAAGTTGAAAGCGTTAGTGAAAGCACACTTAAATCCTAAACTGTGATGGGAAATGCTTTCAAGTTAGGTGAAAACAGTGTCGGTAAATAGAATACACTTTCCTTTTTCTATGCTTAAATAAAAATCTAATTAAGTATTTAAGTAAAAACATATTTATAAAACTGACACCTCTTCCTATATCCTGGAAAAGGTAATAAATAAAGTGCTTTTTACCTTGTTGAAGACTATTGTGAAGACAATTGACAAATGTTGCTAATATAGTTGCTACATTCATTACTTGCCAGCACTGGGCAAGACCAAGAGTAAAAAGTTCATTCCAATAAGCTTTCACCAATGATATGCTGTTTTCTTGCCTATTACAAATAAAAACAAAAGCATAAATCAGATATTATTAAAGTGAATTTTATAAACTTTATAATTGATCAATACATTTAAAAACAAAATACTAAAATTACTCTAAAAACACCAAATGGGTATGCAGTTGATCAATTCTGTGTATGGTATATACAGCTGATAGCAATTAATGAGGAATGCTTAGAAATTTAAATATTAGCTAGCTCATTATCAGCCAGTTTATAAGAACAATTACAAGTAATATTTCAAACTAAAAAAGTTGAGGTTTTAATCTCACACTTCAAGGAAATGGAATAAAGATTGCTTTACAAATAAAAGCATACATTTAAAAAACCTTTCCCAAGCTTTCTTTTGCTTGAATGCAAGTGAATATCTTTTTTTTTTTTTTTTTTTTTTTTTTTTACAAAAGGGCAATTAGCATTATGTCAATAGGTAAGTAACCCATTTCATGGGAGAAATGGTTCGTTCATTCTATAAGTATGTTTCAGATGAGACATAAGCATTCCTATAAATGAAATAACCAGAATTTTAAATAGGAGATAAAGAAATGTCAAAGGTCCTTTCTTGAATTTCAGAATAAGAATCTCAGCAGCATAAAAGAGCAGAAAATATTAGAACCATAGTCAAAGCACCAGGGTTTTAAGACCATTTACCCATTTGAAATTAGGTTAATAAGCTTCACAGGTCTAAGGTTGCTTAACTATAAAAAATACAGAGACACTATATATTTTATAACTTGCTTAGAGGTATTAGGAGGTGCAAATATAAGAATTAGCTGGGCGAAGTGGCATATGCCTGTAGTCCCAGCTACTCAGGAGGCTGAGGTGAGAGGATCCCTTGAGGCCAGGAGTCTGTGGCTGTAGTGTGCCATGATCATATCTGTGAATAGCGACTGTACTCCAGCCTGGGAAACACAGTGAGACCACATCTCAAAAAAAAAAAAAGTATATGCTAGGCACCGTCCTAGACACTAGAGTAATAGCAATTAATAAGATAGATTAATTCTGCCTCATGAAAGAGAAGGGAAACATATAATTTCAAGTATTTTACATAAAAAGTATATACACATATATATGATTATATATATACTAAGTTACTTTCAGGTAATAAAAATTCTATATTACTATAAAGTAGGACAATACATCAGAAAATGGGGGGAGGCTCAGGTAAGTGGTTAAAGAAGGCATTTCTGAGGTGACATTTGAGTCATTTCAGTAGAGAAAGATGGGAGAGAATTTAAAAAAATGATATAGAGGAATAGTATTCCAGGAAGATGAAAGAAGAAGGGCAAATGTGCTAAGGTGAGCATGAGCATATAATAGATGTTCAAATAAAACTGTTGACTGAATTACTAAATGCTATCCTATCTTCTCAGAATGTTCTTTCCCTACCTTGTTTTCCCAGTTATTACCTATTAATCCCTTAAAATATAGCTCAGAGTTCATTTTCTTTTTCTTTTTTTTTTGAGACAGAGTCTCGATTTGTTGCCCAGGCTAGAGTGAGTGCCGTGGCATCAGCCTAGCTCACAGCAACCTCAAACTCCTGGGCTCAAGCGATCCTCCTGCCTTAGCCTCCCGAGTAGCTGGGACTACAGGCATGCGCCACCATGCCTGGCTGATTTTTTCTATATATATTAGTTGGCCAATTAATTTCTATTTTTAGTAGAGACGGGGTCTCTCTCTTGCTCAGGCTGGTTTCGAACTCCTGACCTCGAGCAATCCGCCCGCCTCGGCCTCCCAGAGTGCTAGGATTACAGGCGTGAGCCACTGCGCCCAGCCTCATTTTCTTAAATAAGTATCTTACCACATTCCTCTTCTAACATAGTTAATCATTTCCCTTTGGTGCCACCTATACACTTATATTTTATACCTATGATTTTATGGTATCCTAAATTACTGTTTTAGGGTCTGTCTCCCATACTAGATTAAATCCTCACTGAAGGCAAAGACTCCCTTATGCATTTCTGTATCTCAGCAAATAGTATAGTACATGGCATACAGAAGAACTCCACAAATGATTTTTCGTCTTGGAGATACAGAACAGGCAAAAGTGAGAACTTTGAAAAGACAGAGTTAGAAAAGCTGTGAGCATGGGCCCTTACAATTAAGCAGTCTTTAAACCAAACCTGTATACTTTATTATAAATAAGATAATGAAACTATAAGAATTCTTTTCTTTCTCCAAAGAGATTTAAGTTGATAAGAACATGCTGATAGGAAATGAAATATGTACATTCTGATGAATGGTACTTAAATTTTTTCTTCCTAATAAACCTTCAAAATTAGGATAATCAGTGTATTTAAGAAAAAACAACTCATTAAGAATCATAGCCCTTCTACCTTCAAATCAATGGTAGACAGAAAAAGAGAGAAAAAAGGAAGAAAATGAAACAACAACAAAAGAATCATAGCCTTCTTTATGATATTAAATTTTATTAAAGAATTGAATATACTGAAGCAAATGCTAACATTGCCAACTTAAACGTCACAGAGAGTAATTTTTCTCATTTGGAATTATTCAGGTAAAATTTTAATTCCACGGGCCGGGCGCGGTGGCTCACGCCTGTAATCCTAGCACTCTGGGAGGCCGAGGCAGGTGGATTGCTCGAGGTCAGGAGTTCGAAACCAGCCTGAGCAAGAGCGAGACCCCGTCTCTACTAACAATAGAAAGAAATTAATTGGCCAACTAATATATATAGAAAAAATTGGCCGGGCATGGTGGTGCATGCCTGTAGTCCCAGCTACTCGGGAGGCTGAGGCAAGAGGATCACCTGAGCCCAGGAGTTTGAGGTTGCTGTGATCAAGGCTGACGCCACAGCAATCACTCTAGCCTGGGCAACAGAGTGAGACTGTCTCAAAAAAAAAAAAAAAATTTAATTCCAGGCTGTTCTCTTTTTTATTATCTGAGAAAAATTACTTGCTATAAGACACTGGATATTAATCAATTTGAAAGTGAAGTTTAAATGCAAAGAAAATTAGTAATTTAAAATCTCCATAAAGAAAATATTTAAGAATATAAATCTTAAACAAAATCAAAGAAAATGCGCATCTTCTTAGATCCAGAAATTCCACTTATAAGAACCTATTTTATTGGTCAGGCACGGTGGCTCACGCCTGTAATCCTAGCACTCTGGCAGGCCAAGGCGTGCAGATTGTTTTGAGCTCAGGAGTTTGAGACCAGCCTCAAAAAAAAAAAAAGGAACCTATTTTATTTACTTATTTAAAAAATTTTTTTAAGAAATATGGTCATGCACCACATAATAATATTTTGATCAATGACACACTGCATTACCAATAAGATTATAATACTATATTTTTACTGTACCTTTTCTGTGTTTAGATACACAAATATTTACCATTGTGTTACAATTGCCTACAATATTCAGTACAGTAGCATGCTGTACAGGTTTGTCCTAGGTTGGGAGCCTAGGTGTGTATTAGTAGGTTGTACCATGTAGGTTTATGTAAGTACATGCTATGATGTTTGCACAATGACAGAATTACCTAACAATGAATTTTTCATAGTGTATCCCTGTCATTAAGTAACGCATGCCTGTGACAACATGACTGTATGAACAAAAATAGGCAAAAATATATGAAATGCTGTATCACATATCATAGCATTGGCTATAATAACAAAGAAAGCTAGCAACAATCCAAATGTCTACTAATAAGGGATGAATAGGTAAATTATAGTAAATCTATAAAAAAGGAATACTAGATGGTCATTAAAAAACAGTAAATTTACATCTGCTGACATAGGAAGCAGTCTTTAATATAAGTGTAAAGAGCAAGGCAAAGAATAGGATGTATAAATATGTACATGTATTTGTTTATTAAATAAGGCATGGAAAAAAATCTGGTAAGACACCAAACTGTTAACAGTGGGGTTAATTACCTTTGGAAGGTGAGGTTTTACTTTATAGGTCTACACTTCAGTACTACTTTAAACATGAGGAAAAAGTTAAATGCAAACATGAAGGAAAAGTTAGAAGCGATTCAGTTCTCACCTTAACCTCTGACTCTGAAGCTTTAAGGAGGAAACAGCTAATCAAGGTAATTAACTAGTGAACACAGGAAAGGAAAAATAACTGAAAAAAATCAGAGCTGTTGCATACCTCTTCTTAATAAAGTACCTTGAAATTGTTGGGAAGGCTCAGAGAAAAAGTTAAAGAGTATCAACGTAGAGGATGAGCAACACCAAAATTATTACTAAGGAAAAAAGATTTAAGGGCTAACAGAGGAATAAACTATTGGGTATTTTGTTTTCAAAGAAAAAGTGAAAAAGCTAATTGTACAGATCAATTACAGAAAGATACTTACATTTTCATCTAAAACCCAAACCCTAAAACCCTCATAATATAGCTAGCTTTGTTGTTAAGATGTCTTTAAAAAGTTCATTAAGTTAGGAAAGAAAAACTGCAAGCCTCCTTTAATAAGAAAGTTTCTAAAAGAATGAAGACTGTATATATTGTTAATGTTCATAAAAATATGTATCAAAACAGCAACTCAAAGTACTATAATTGCAAAAAAAAATAAAAGCAAATATTTTTGAAATTTTTTTAATTAAAAAATATGTATATAGGACTTACAATTAGAGATTAGATCATTGTTTATATTATTTATTTTGATTAAAAAATATGACTTTTGAGCCACCTGGAGATACTGAAGGCACTGGCCCTCAGGGAAAAATGATCAGTGATATGGAATAAACTCACAAAGTTATAACAAGCATTACATTTGTTTCAGTGGCATTTTAGAAGATTCAACTTTTGTGCTTAGCATAATCATGCCAAGTACCCTCCACTACCCCTCCAACAGAATCTACCATTACTAATATAGTCACTTAGTTACATTATATAGGAAGAATTTAAATCCAACAACTGAATTCCTCTAAGTATTGAAACTATGAATCTTAAACAGAAAAGTCAACACTATTGTAAAATACGGAAGCCTTATAAAATACAAATGGTACAAACCTTTTGATTGAAGTAAGTGATCAAAACAAACCTGACTTTTAGATAATGATTAATGTTGCTTAACTGTATCTCTCTGTAAAATCAGGCCTTTGTTACCAACTCTTGTATTTAGAGATGAAAGTGCAACCAATGGCAATTTCTAGATTTAGAATAGCTTTTATTTCCGTATAATAGAATTTCTCCATCATTAGCACTTAGTCCTCATCCATCTGATTAGGTCGACATATAAATAAGATCTATAAATTATCTAGACAGGCATAAGAAGAGTTTGTGTAGCAGTTAATAGCCTTGATTGCTAGATCAATAGTTATTCTAATTACAAAGAATCCTGTGGCTGTTACATTGAAACTGATTTTCAATACAGATCACTGGGAAATGTGGCTGCCAATATAAAATTCATTATTTTATAACCAGAAGCCTCCTCAAGCTTTATTTTTGGTTTCTTCAACATCTGAATTATTTCCATAGGATAATAACACTCAATTTAACAGAAGTATTTAAGATCACTGGTGTTGAGAATAATTCACAGTTCAAATCATTCCCCAAATTTCCTTCCTTTTGTTGTTTTACTACGATAATTGATAGCCTATTAAGAAAAATAGGCTTTCAGGCATAAGTATGCCAGTTACAAGTTTAGCAAACTATACTTAATCCTTTAAAATTAATAAAATGCTAATATGTAAATTTACATTGTACTTTAATTTTTTCTAAAAAACATACTGGAGAAATTCTGAAAGCTGAATGTTATTTTAAGAGAAAAGGCTAACAATAATTTTAAAGGTTAACCATTCTAAATCAGTCTTTTAGTCTATGCAGTGGTAATATGAGTACATGATTTAATGCATGGTACACCTAACACTGATTAAAAAGCCAAATTATAATATTGAATCTGCCTTTATTCAATTCTCTGTATGCCTTTTACAGTCAGGACTCAGATGTTTCTTAGTTATATTCAAAATAGTCTCTAAGAATAAGGGATGGGCAGTTATTATTCCTATTTGGCAAATGGGAGAACAGATGTACAGGACATAAAAGTGAATTGTATACAAAACCATATTGGTGAGTAGGCTCCTATGAGGTGAATAAAAACATTCTGTGGGCTTAACTTTTTCCACTGTCTTGCACTTTTAAACCAGTTACTTTAAAGCAATCTAAATAAATTTAACAAACTTTAGGTGAAGCTTGGGTTTCTTATAGTAGACCATTTTCCATTTCATCTGATTGCTTCATATATAAATGACACAACTTGAAATGATAGTTATATCATTTTTTCCTTTAATGCAAATCCTCCCAAAATAAAAGTTCTTGCTTAATGTACATTTGTGCTACAAAATCACGTTTATATTCAAGGACTTCAAAACACTCACCCTAGAGCCTGGAAAGAAGGAATCGAAAGTGCCCAGTGCATTGATAAGAACAGCAGTCTGGAGGCAGACTCCCCAATGTAGTGCACATTCAGGTATTCAGGCATAGGAGAAGGCATGGTGAGCTAGTATGAACAGGGATTTAGGTAAATTATCTTGTGACTGAAAGTTCTAAATTACTATTTCTTTGAAAAAGTTGAATGTAAACATAACACATCAAATATTATATGAATGTAAATTATTCACAAAAAAGGCGAATCTTAAAATAATCCAAGTCATTGGATTTTATAGCTAACAACAGGGCTTAGAATAAATAAGCAGACCATAGTTATAACAAAGCAATATTCAGACAAGTAGAATCTCACTTAATAAATACCAACCATAATATCATCTGGTTGTGTTTTTAAAAGTTACTTCCTGTCTTGGTCTAAGAACGTGTTTTTACCTTCCCTCCTTCCCCCTCTGTCCATTAACAATGGCATGCAACAAATTTAGTTTAAGGAGAAATCCTGTATGCTAACTATTCCCTTCATTTGGGCTATAAGGTTAACAAATTCAAATACTTACAGGGCCAAGAGAGCAAAGAGTGAAATAGGCTTTCTGGTACCAACTGGGGAGAGCATATTCCCAGATAAAACCCTGACTTGAACTTAGCATAATGAAAACATATGGAAATTTGGGCTCAGCACTGCCAGCTCTTTCAATTTTTCAAAGAGTATGTTCTTTGCAAAAATTGGTACTGAATAAAAAAGCATTTTAAAAAATATTCTACAGATAAAATATGTTTGTGGACATACCACTTGCAGGTTATCAGTGTGTATTGCTGACCTTAAGCAGTTCTTCAAAATGTTTGACCACTATTGAAAATAAACATCCTACATGAAAACACTTTTAAAATAATTTTTGGAAATCTTTCAAAGAAAATTTTTACTACCACAAATAAATGTAATTTCACCTATAAGAAACATATATATATATATATATTTTTTTTTTTAGAGTCTCACTTTGTTGCCCAGGCTAGAGTGAGTGCCGTGGCGTCAGCCTCGCTCACAGCAACCTCAAACTCCTGGGCTCAAGTGATCCTCCTGCCTCAGCCTCCCAAGTAGCTGGGACTACAGGCATGCACCACCATGCCCGGCTAATATTTTGTATATATATTTTTTAGTTGGTCAATTAATTTCTTTCTATTTTTAGTAGAGACGAGGTCTTGCTCAGGCTGGTTTCGAACTCCTGACCTCGAGCAATCCGCCCACCTCGGCCTCCCAGAGTGCTAGGATTACAGGCGTGAGCCACCACGCCCGGCAAGAAACATTTTTTATGTACTTTTTTTTTGGAGACAGGGTCTCGCTCTGTTGCCTGGGCACAAGTCCAGTGGCATCATTACTTCAGTGCAACCTCAGATTCCTGGGCTCCAGTGATCCTCCTGCCTCAGCCTCCCAAGTAGCTGGGACTACAGGCACATGCCACCATGCCCGGCTAATTTTTCTATTTTTTGTAGAGACAGAGTCTCGTATGTTGTTCAGGTTGGTATTGAACTCCTGGGCTCAAGTGATCCTCCCACCTTGGTCTCTCAAAGTGCTAGGGATACAGGTGTGAGCTACTGTGCCTAGCCTCTACTTTTTAATTACTGAAATGATCAATAGTATCAAGTATAGCGAGGACAGAGAAAAAAGTACACACACACTACTGAGGGTGGGTAAACTGGAGAGCAATTTGGTTGTTATCTACCAAAATTTAAAAAATAAGTATACTCTGTGACCTAATAATACCACTACTAAATCTCTATTCCAGCAAAATACTTGTACACGTGCACAAAAGAAATATATAAGGATGTCCATTGTAATCATACTTCTAATAGTGAAATTAAAAGCTTACAATGATACACATTTCCATCACAAGGGAAAAGAATAATCCATGTTATAGAATACCCTGTAAACATTAAAATTAGTAAGATAAATGAGATGTAATGGCATAGAAAAAACATCTCACAGACATCACAGTGGAAACAAATGGCAAAATAGTATGTAGATAATTCAATTTATGTTAAATAACATGTATAGTGTGTGTATATCTATATCTACACATACATAAAAAGGACAGGAGGAAACACACTACACAGTTAACAGTGGCTACCTCTGGGGTAAGGTAGGTGGATGTGCATATATATATTTTTCTGGGTGATGAATACAAACATATATATATACACACACACATAAAACTTTCATCAGATTCTAAAGGTATCTATGTCAACAAGATCAAAAGGTTTTCATCAAAATGATATAAAAGTTGTCTAGAAATGTTAGATAATGTAAAAAACAAAAAACTGCCTTTGTTCAGTATTAGCCACAAATGGTTTATCTATCTATAAATGGTGCCAAGTAATAAAACAACAGTTGAAATTCCACAAATGGAGATGAAAAAATTTTTAAATGCCTACTAGAGTAGTAAATTAAAATATAATTATTTAAGATAATTCCTAAGAGAACTGTAGGCAAGCAAATATCAAACATTAAATGTAATTATTAGTTAGGATTGCAACTGTTTCTACATAAGAGTATATATATATTAAAAAAACTTGGGAACATTTTCAGAATTGCCCAAGGTGAGTAGGCAAAAAAAAAAAAAAAAAAAAGCTGGAAAAATTAGGGGAATTATCAATAATTACTGGTTTCAAGGCCAAGGGATAAGTTACAAAACAACAACATAAAAGAATATCCTTTGCAAAATAGTTTTAAATTGCCTGTTAATTAATAAAATACTTATAACATGTAAAAATTGGATATAATGGCTTTGATTCATATAACAATGGCGGCAGCTAAAACCTTTCTGCTGATTTAATCATAAAATGAAATAATTTGTCATACACATGAAAGGAACTTATTATTTAAAATGCTAACTACAACATGTTGCATTATTTTAGAGAGGAAATGTTTCATAATTTGTCATTTTTACATATTTAGTACACCTCCTAACATGAATCAGAAAGCTAAAGAAACAATAATCCATTCAACAAGTCTTTAAGACCAGTGGTCCCCAGCCTTTTTGGCACCAGGGACTGGTTTCATGGAAGACAATTTTTACTCAGATTGGGAGTGAGAGGGTAGGGTGTCATGGGTAGGTGGGGTACGGTTTGGAGCTCAGATGGTGATGGGCAACCCAATTCCCAATAGGCCACAGACCAACAGTGGACGGCAGCCTAGGGACTGGGGACCAGTTTTAGACTGAAATGACAAAGATTTCTTCCTAGAGAAGGTGAGCTTCTACTACAAAGATGTTAAAGCTTCCCCCAAATGCCTGTGGAACTTTAGGTTCACAAATCGAATTATACATATTTTTTCAAATTAAAAACATTGAGTACGTTGAGCTGAATTTTTAAATAGTACTGACAACAACTAAACCTGACCAACCTATTTTAGAAGTTATTACTTGCTTTTACAATTATCTGTCTATAACTGAATTCTGGTAACAACTTGCATGGCACAGCTTTTAAAAAAATCATCTGACTTGAGTTAGGAGACCTGGATTCTACTTCCAACTTTTTATTAATTACTTGTCTGACCCATAGATTGTACATACATTCAGTAACCATTTTGTGAAAGTTCACAGCTAAGTGCTGTTGTCTCAGTACAAGAATAAAGTGAAAACTGAATGAGCTACAGAAAGGGCTAAAAAAGAGAATGACATGTGTGAGAAACAATAGGCAATTGGATTAGAATGTGGAGGGGCCTGAAAGATCAAGTTATGGAGACTGGACTTAATCCCACACAGGAAAGGGGAAGCTATTAAAGGCTTATAAGTAGCAGAGTGACATATTAGACTGATTTTTAACAAACATCACGCACACTGGTACCAGTGCACAGGATAAGACAGAAGACAGCCTGGAAGCAAAGCTATTACTGTAATAGTTCAAGAAAAATTTTAAAAGACCTAAATTATGGCAATGGAAATGAAGAGGAAGGGGGAAATTCAAGTAATAGAATGGTTACGATTCAGCTATGGAATAGAGGTGGAGCAAGACATGAGCAGCATGAAGACCACCCTCAAGTTGCAAACTAGGACTGTGATTCTAACAATGAGAAAATAAACACAACAGAATAACAAGTTTTGGAAATTACCTCACTTCTGCTGCATATACTTATTTCAAAAGTGGGAATACTGTCTACCTTATAAGGAAATTTTAAGAATCCAGTGAAATAAGGTATATGAAACCATGCCAAAAACTCTGAAGCTTAATAAAAAGTTAAATATTGCTATTGTCCTTAATTTTTCAGAATGAAATTTCAAGTTTCATTATTAGACTGTTTCTCCTTACTACCTAGATTGCTTTAAACAAGACACTGAAAATCTCTAAATTTCTTTTTTCAGACACAAAATGAGAATAAAAATTCTAACCTCTTCAACAGAATGTGATAAGGCTCAAATAAAAGAATGTATGTGAAAATGTGCTGCAAACTACAGGGGACATAAAAATGCAACAGAGAAACAAAATGCTATTCAGCTTAGCAATTAAAGACAGGATTGAGTTATCTGATTAAAGATGTCAGGTCTTAAAAAACCATTACTAGAGGCCGGGCGCTGTGGCTCACGCCTGTAATCCTAGCACTCTGGGAGGCCGAGGCGGGCGGATTGCTCAAGGTCAGGAGTTCAAAACCAGCCTGAGCAAGAGCGAGACCCCGTCTCTACTATAAATAGAAAGAAATTAATTGGCCAACTGATATATATATAAAAAAAAAATTAGCCGGGCATGGTGGCGCATGCCTGTAGTCCCAGCTACCCGGGAGGCTGAGGCAGAAGGATCACTCGAGCCCAGGAGTTTGAGGTTGCTGTGAGCTAGGCTGACGCCACGGCACTCACTCTAGCCTGGGCAACAAAGCGAGACTCTGTCTCAAAAAAAAAAAAAAAAAAAAACCATTACTAGAAAACCTCAATGAAAGAACTAACCATGAAACTACCAGGCTCTAGGAACTAAGCAGGGAAATCACTGAAGAGTAAAACTCTTGACTTCACAGGGCTGGAAACAAGAATCAGGGAAAGAGCTGTTCTTTTCAGGAAAGAAAGAAACTTTATAGTGCTGACTCTGAGGATACCCAGAGCAAAGGAGATCAAAGGTGGAATGAAAACACTCAATTCCAGAAGGAAAAAAAGGGTCTACTTTACCTAATTCATCTTGCCAAAACATTTCAACCGGAATCAAAAATGTTGAGGACCAACATCAACAATAAAAAAGGTGTACTACTTCTTTCTAAAGAGTACTCTGTCCTTTTTCCTTATAATTGGTCCTCTTCCTACATCTATCTCATTTTATCCTTCCTCCTATTTAAATCCAAAGGCAGAAAACAAAACTAGGAAAACAAAAGAATGCCTTTTTGGAACAATGGGGAAAATAAAGTTTGCCTTGCTCCACTGTTGTCCATAGATCCTACCATAATTCTTAAGGATGACACTAATTATTCCAATTACTTTTTCTAATAGTTTCCATAAAAAGTTTTTCTATACAGTACAGATAAAACATTTCTCTTTTTTTATGTAAGTTATCTTTAATAAAATGTTACATAAAAATTTTTTTACTGATATAATTTATTGACTATATCTAATTACATCAATTATTTAGTCACTGAGTTTTCAGGTCAAATTTTATAAATACAAATATTATTACATGCAAGTTCGGCCAATGTTACATTTATTTCGTGTTATTTCTACCCATATACACATATTTATTTGCTAACTATGCATATTTTCTTAAGAAATTCAGGAAATTTTATGATAGTAAAATTTTATGATAGTAAAATGCCCTTAGGCATTCTAGGATTGCTATATATTATTAACTGAAATTTCCTATATACATTCAATAACTGTATACATCTTGCAAAGAGTGGTTAAAATGGACGGGTCAAAACAATAGGTTCTTAACATAGGGTCTCAGTAGTGACTATATCCAAGCTCCGGTCCAAACATTATTTGAATGACAAATCAAATAGCAGAACGTGCTTTTCTAGTCTTCTACATGTATTGTTTCCATCATAAATAAATATATTTAGGGGACACAATAAATTACAAATGTATTTTCTCCAAAATGGTTAAAAACCAATAGTTAAAATGTATTAAATAGTTTATAGGTCTTATAATAATGCTGAAAGCTAGCCTATTAGGGCGATACATAACAAATGGAGTTTTTGGTCGTTATTATGGTAAATATCTGGGTCTTTTTTTTTTTTTTTTTTTTTTTTTTGACCTAAAGTGGCTGTGAGAAATATCTGGGTCTTAAAATCAATTTACACTACAAGTAGTAGCTAAGCACTGAACAAAAGCAGTGTGCATTTAACACATCATGAATGCCAATACTTAAAAAATAAAACCATATGTTCATACTCAGCTGGAAAAAAACAAAACAAAACCTGGTGTGTTTAAATAGTTCTAACAGGCAACTTTTATAGACTTAAACCCACTAATTGCTATTACAACTGATTTATAAACAGGATGCCTTTATTGAGTCATTACCTTATATAGCTAGCATATAATTTAGCTGTTTTGAAATTCTATCAAGGATATTTCTGACTTTAAAAGCACAAATATACTTTGATTATTGAAGGGAAGATCAAAATCAAATGATAATATAAAAGTTAAAAAAATATAGAGAAATACCCTGAAAGCTACATGTGAATCGCTGAGAAGCGGCCCCTCTTTTTCCATGCAATTTATGCTTGAATCTCCAGCAAACAGGTGTACATTTCCTTCCATGCCCTCTACTGAGCTCTGACAGGTTGTGCTTTCTCCAGGATTCAATGCTTTTGCGAGAGTATCAAATGCCCTATAAGGAGACATCAGAAGCTGTGAACTTGGCCAATCTCCACAATAAAATGAAAATTCCACACAAAATTCTGGATTTCAGATTTAAGCCTAGGCCAGGTGCGGTGGCTCACATTTGTAATCCTAGCACTTTGGGAGCCCAAGGCGGAAGAATCCCTTGAACTCAGAAGTTCGAGACAAGGCTGAGCAAGAGTGAGACCCCCTCACTCTTTCTATTAAAAATAGAAAAAATTAGCTGGGTGTGGTGGCATGCGCCTGTAGTCCCAGCTACTGTGGAGGCTGAATCAGGAGGATTGTTTGAGCCTAGGAGTTTGAGGTTGCTGTGAGATAGGCTGACACCATGGCACACTAGTCCAGGAAAGTGAGACTCTGTCTAAAAAAAAAGCCTAAAGAAAAGTTTAGAAAATAAAACTTTGGTGTATCACTGAGCATTCTATTTCAGCAACATCTACAACTCTCTCCAAAAGCAACAAATTGAACTTCATATGCATAGTATGAAATACTAGATTATCATAATAATCCAGGGAATTGAAGTCTCTTTTAAAAATCTTATATAAGCAAAGGGGAGAAAAATCCTTAGGCTTTGATATAAAAATATGCCTTTAAAAGTTAAATATTTGATACGCCAAGGTTATCAGTCCATTTATCTTATATATAGAAGTTATTTAGAAAGAAAAAGAGGGAAAATTTGACTTTATTGTATGGTACTCAATACAAAGTTAGGTCTTAATTTTATTTAAAAATTTAGAGAATATTTTTAAACTTGTGGGTACATAGCTCAATCTAACCTGTAGGAATCTGAGACTAGAATAATAATTAATCAATGTTAGCAAATAATTATTCAAAATAGATCCTCATGTTTTTCAATGATAGGCCTTCTAGAGTTCCTTAAAATCTCATGCTCAACAAAGCATTTGTTATATTTTCCTTTTCTTTTTTTTGAGATAGGGTCTTGCTATGTTGTCCAGGCTGGTCTTAAACTCCTAGGCTCAAGCACTCTGCTAGCCTCTGCCTCCCGAGTAACTGAGACTATAGGCATGAGCTACTATGCCTGGCTTGTTCAATTATTTTAAATCAGGCATCCTCAAACTACAGCCCACGGGCCACATGCGGGTGTTTTTGCCTGTTTGTTTTTTACTTCAAAATAAGATATGTGCAGCGTGCATAAGAATTTGTTCATAGTTTTTTTTAAACTGTAGTCCAGCCCTCCAACAGTCTGAGGGACAGTGAACTGGCCCCCTGTTTAAAAAGTTTGAGGATCCCTGTTTTAAACGATAAACAGATACATGTGAAAAGCCTGAATAAATTTGGTTCTTATGTCCTTTTTTTTTTTTTTTTTTTTGAGACAGAGTCTCGCTTTGTTGCCCAGGCTAGAGTGAGTGCCGAGGCGTCAGCCTGGCTCACAGCAACCTCAAACTCATGGGCTCCAGAGATCCTACTGCTTCAGCCTTCCGAATAGCTGGGACTACAGGCATATGCTATCACGCCCGGCTAATTTTTTCTATATATAGTTTTAGTTGTCCAGATAATTTTTCTATTTTTAGTAGAGACAGGGTCTCGCTCTTCCTCAGGCTGGTCTCAAACTCCTGAGCTCAAACGATCCACCCACCTCAGCCTCCCAGAGTGCTAGGATTACAAGCGTGAGCCACCATGCCCGGCCCCAAATTACATTCTTTAAAGGAAAAAAAAATCCTAAATTTTAAGACTACATTTCTAATCTTATAATATTCATTTACTGATCTTGTTATTTATAATGTAACCTGTTAGACATTTTATACTAAATGAAGTTTTTTAGTTAAAACTTACTGTCTTAAATTTTCTAAGTTCAATAGAAATACAGGTTGAGCATAACAATTCTAAAATCTTAAATGCTCCAAAATCTAAAACTTTTTGAGCACCAACATGATGCCATAAGTGAGAAGTTCCACATATCACTGCATGTGATGGGTTGTAGTCATAACACAGGTGCAAAAAACATAGTTTATTCAGCATCCCCAAGGTAAAAAAGACCCTTCCAGGGCCGTTCACCTAAGATATGCATTTTTTTGTGCACACCTAGATTTCTTCATGCAAGCATACACATAGAAGGTGATACAAATGGCATGTATACACGCCAGATGTGCCAATGGAAGGAAGGTTCTCCACGGTACCCCATAAGAAGCCAAGACCTACATGTATTACTCACTGTGTTTTCTGCTTGTTTTCTGCTCTGTGGTGTAAAAATATTGTTGAAAATGTCAAAAAGGTCTGCAAGATACCCACAAGGTAATGCAAATATTCCAAAATCTGAAAAAATCCAAAATCTGATACTTTTGGTCTCAAGTATTTTGGATAAGGGATAATCAACTTGTACTTGTTTTCTGAAACTTCTATAAATAGTATGTAACATAAAAATATTCTAAGAAATACAAAGAGACACTTAAACAAAAGGACACTTAAGATCAAATAGACCTTACCTTGAAACATCACCACTGGTCTGCATTTCTTGATGAAATTCACACAAAGAGGTATCACCATTGCTTAAGTTTTCAATCATAGACATTTCATTACTACTTTGAGAAAGATCTTTAGTTTTTCCAAGATTTGCTAATGATGTAACCACACTGGCCAATGTACTTAAATCTCCCTGACATGATTCAGCCTTTAAAAAAAAAAGGGGATATTAAAATTCTGCAAATTGGTATCAGTATATTTTTAAATCTGAAATATCCAATCTAGATTATGAAATGCTGAAAGAAAAGTAAAGTATGATAAATGAAACCTAGAATATAAAATCAAAGATCTCTGAGCTTTCAAAAATTTCTTGAGAAAAATACAGTTTAAAAGTATCGGGCATGGCCAGGTGCAGTGGCTCACGCCTGTAATCCTAGCACTCTGGGAGGCCGGGCGGAAGGATTGCTTGAGGTCAGGAGTTCAAGACCAGCCTGAGCAAGAGTCAGACTCTGTCTCTACTAAAAATAGAAAAAAAATTAGCCAGTCAACTAAAAAATTAGCCATGCGTGGTGACTTACACCTGTAGTCCCAGCTACTCAGGAGGCTGAGGCAGGAGGATCACTTGAGACTAGAAGTTTGAGGTTGCTGTGAGCTAGGCTAAGGCTACAGCATTCACTGTAGCCCGGGCTAAAGTGAGACTCTGTCTCAAAAAAAAAAAAAAAAAAATCAGGTATATTTCTTAAGAAATGTTTATATAAAAGTTACTTTAAACCTCAAATTGTACTTAATGGCTAATTTATCCATGTCAAGCCACTTCCTCTACAAAGAGAAATTAAATTAGACAATCTTTCAAGTTCTTCTCAGCATTAAAATTCTGATATTATGGTAATTTCTAAAACTTATTATATAAACTATAAACTTAAATAGAATGAAAAGATTAGTGAAAAGTGGGAAAAAGGCAAATGTATTATTGAAGAGACTTCAATGATAACAACTTTTACTAGGTACTGTGTTAATTAAATATCAGCCACTGTGTTGAACACAAAAATAAAAAGAAATTGATCAGATGCCCATATTCTTTTCACTTTTTTTCTTGCTGGAGTAGAAAAATCTCTATGTTGTTGAGATATTGGTATTTTGTTACACTGCATACTGCATTTCCTATTTGACTTCATTTTTTACATCTGTTAATAACGTATATATTCTTTGTGCATCAGCCACAATTCTTTTATAAAAAACATTTTCTTTCGTTAACTCTTCCATTATCCAGCAATAAAATGTGTATGGGGAAGGCAGATAAGTGCTTGATTTTTCTTGTATTTAGTAATCAATTTTCAGAGCAAGCTGATGGCCTAGCAACCTCTAATGATAACAGATCTGTTTTTCTATCATTTTAAATTCATACATTTTTAAGTATCTGATGTTTTATATATTTGATTTTATTTAATAATTTATTTTTTTAATGCTTTCCCATCCTAACCTAATGAGTAGACTTTCAAGTTGTCTTCTATCTCCTATTGACACAATCCCTTAATGACATTTTCTTCTATTAATTTTTTTTTTGTCTATTTTTGAAATAAGAGTCTCTGTCACCCAGGCTAGTGGGTGGCGTCGGTATAGCTTACAGCAACCTCAAATTCCTGGGCTCAAGCAACCTCCTGCCTCCTCAGCCTTCCAAGTAGCTGGGACTATAGATGTGAGCCACCATGCCTGGCTAATTTTTTCCTTTTTTTGTAGAGATGGGGTCTTGCTCTTACTTAGGCTGGTCTGAAACTCCTGAACTTAGTGATCCTCCCACCTCGGCCTCCCAGAGGCTAGGATTATAGGCGTGAGATACTGCACCTAGTCTACTAATACTTTATGGTTTTTATTTTTAGTGTTCTTTATTTTATTTTATTTTTATTTTTGAGACAGAGTCTCGCTTTGTTGCCCAGGCTAGAGTGAGTGCCGTGGCGTCAGCCTAGCTCACAGCAACCTCAAACTCCTGGGCTCAAGTAATTCTTCTGCCTCAGCCTCCCAAGTAGCTGGGACTACAAGCATGCATCACCATGCCCGGCTAATTTTTTCTATATATATTAGTTAGCCAATTAATTTCTTTCTATTTTTAGTAGAGAAGAGGTCTCACTCTTGCTCAGGCTGGTTTTGAACTCCTGACCTCGAGCAATCCGCCTGCCTCGGCCTCCCACAGTGCTAGGATTACAGGCGTGAGCCACCGCGCTGCACCTGGCCATTTTCAGTGTTCTTAATCCTAAAATAATACGTATGTTTCCTTGATGTTCATATGTTAAAAACAATTTTTTAGTTTATGTGAAACTGATTTTGATAAGTAGAATAAAACAATATTTCTGCCCTTCCCAAATTAGATAGTAGTCCATGAATTGTTTACTAAACACCCTACCAGTTACATGATTTTTACATGATTACTGCTTATATGTGTATTTTATTTAATATTCTTAACAATGCTGTTTAATAGAAATCATCCTACTATCACCAGCCAGGGGAATAACCCATCACATTTGGATAGTAAATAGTGGAGGCTGGACTGGCTGACTACAAAAGCTACTGCTTCAAACAGCCTTCTTACACAGGAGCAAATGGTACAGCAGTTACAATTTTTAAGTGTTTTCAACTAAAACTTAGAGGCTTATATATTTTTTTCCATTTAGCAACATGTCTAACTAGATTTTTAAGTTTTCGCCATCAAAGACTTAGGCAACATAGAAAAATCTCATCTAGTGCCTTCACAGTTTTGTGGTCATTTGTCAGAGAAACTTAACACACAAGGTTGTTAAAACAATTTAATATAGAGACATACGTGGAAGCCGTGTTGGGGCAAATAGTAGTTTCTCAACAAAACTTAGTTCCCTTTCTTTCCTAATGGAGTTAATATGTCAATGAAATTGCAATTACCACTCTTAACCATGAATCACATAGACAAGGCTAAGTGAAGTCCTATAATTCCCAAAATGTATGGTAAGAGGCCTAATTGCCTCACTTAATAATTACATGTGAAAGCCTCACCTGGAATGTAGATACTCTTATTATTCCCATTACACAGATGAGGAAAGTGAGGCACTTGCCTAAGTTCATGTGGCTAATAAATGGCATATGAAATTTGATTTTGCAGCTCAAGTATTTAGATTGCCTTAAAGTATCAAGCAACAAATATATGACAAATCTGGCAATGAATAGGATAAATAATCATACAGGTTATATAAAACCAGATCCCATATCAGGCTGAATGAAACCCTGATCAGAGGCTCCCTAAAAATTTGTTTTCAGGTATGAGTTTTCATGAGAAATTTTTGCTTCTTGTTCTCATAAGGGGTTTCTGAAAAGCACAGACACTCTACATGTTCAATATAAATAAGCAAATCTTTTTTCCTTTAGACTCCTTGTCTAATAAAGAGCTGCTCCAATCTCTAAGAGAACCTGGATGACTTGAATATACCAGGGCAGCCTCGAAAGTATCAAGCCATTGTTAATGTAACAAGAAAGTTACTTGGCTGGATACTTTCTGGACAGCCCTTGTAGAATAGAAGAGCTCTTGCAATCCTATTCCTATTCTTGACTCAAGTAGATATTTTGACTGAAGTGTGCTAAGAATTTCTCCTTTCTCGAAATATTTTAAGTACCTAGGTACTAACAAATCAATATGGGAACATAAAAGTAGTATTAAGAATTTCACACTTACTATAAATTTCTTTTACTGAGAACTTTTATTTCAAGATGAAACAAAAGAAACCAGAAGAATTTTAAGTTTGGTGCTTTTATGTTGAAGCTTTAATTGTTGCAGTGAAATAATGAACATTTTAATCAAATAGTTGATAATTTGTTGTTTTTTAAAAAAAATTTATAATGGAGAATATTTAAGACCAAATCCATCGACCAAAGTGATGAAAGAGACAATGAAAATGAAACATTATTAAAAGCTTTAAAAAAAATTTAAGCTTTAAATTGTACTAAACACACCTTATCTGGTGTCATCAACACAGTTGACTCAGTTTTTAATCCAGATGGATGAATATTCACAAACATTCCTGAATCTAACAGTCCTGTTGACCTGTAACAAATAAGTACACATTTTAGTCTTAGTTTCACTGGGAGGAAAAACAAGTTACCAGGTACTTAATGTTGTTTTACTATACCTTGCAGTTTCACTATCTGTTACAAAAGTTGGAGTTGCTGCTAATGGGCTACGAAGGTCTTTTCGGATGTAGATTTTTTCTGTTGAAGCAGCACAGTTGGAAGATTTTTCTCGTGATACTTCAATGGGTTTTCTTTCACACTGAACAGCTACAAAAATGTGTTAAAACTATTATATCACAACACAAAATTTATAAGCAATTATAAATGTAAACTCTAGCAATGCTGCTGAGACATGATTACCACACTAAACTCTGAAAATAACAATTAGAAATTATGTGCAAGTTGAACAAAGTAGCTTCAGATTAGTAAAACTGGCAACTCTGCATCTCTCATTCTCTTTTCTATCCCCACTCCCCTGCTCCTGCGGTATATATGTAGAGAAACTCTTTATTTTTTAAAAGTTCACTATCAAGAAGGAAGAACTGAAGTTTGGAGTCACGAATGTATATGAGAGCTTAAAAATGAAATGAAATTTAATCAGTTGAAAACAATACTGAGAGGCCGCGTGGTGGCTCATGCCTGTAATCCTAGCACTCTGGGAGGCCGAGGTGGGGAGGACAGCTTGAGTTCAGGAGTGAGACCCTGTCTCTACTATAAATAGAAAGAAATTAGCTGGACAACTAAAAATAGAAACAATTAGCCAGCCATGGTGGCGTGTGTAAGCTACTCAGGAGGCTAAGGCAAGACGATTGATCACCTGAGCCCAGGAGTTTGAAGTTGCGGTGAGCTAGGCTGATGCCACAGCACTGTAGAGCAGGCAACAGAGTGAGACTGTCAAGATAGAAAAGAAAAAGGAAAAGGAAAAAGAAAAAGAAAAGAGGAAAGGAGAGGAAAGGAAAAAGGAAGGGAAAAAGGAAAGGAAAGGAACAGAAACAACACTGAGAGACACAAAAAGGCCTCTAAGATAGATGTTTTTTTTTAACTAGGGGCAGAGAGAATGAGATGTGATTCAACTGCTTCATCTTTGTTTTTATTTTTATTTTTTTTTTTTTTGTTTTTTTTTTTTTTTGGGCTGGAGAGGAAGTGACCTGCTTCATCTTTGTTTATAAAAATATATGTAATATGTTTTATAGGAATTTTATTTCATAATACTTAGAAAATAGTATAGTGTAGTTAAATGTACATTTTCTTACAAGGCCAAAATTCAAAAAGCTAAGTTCTACCACTTATTAGACCTAGAACAAATTTCTCCAACCTCTGTTTACTCAATTGTAAAACGGATAACAGTAGCTACTGCAGAGAATTACTGTGAGAATAATACATATGCTAAGCATATTACCTGGCATAGTGAGAGCTCAATAATAGCCATTATCATTATCTTACTCATCACTTTTTAGTAGTTTAATCAAAAAGTAAATCAGTATCAAGTTAGGCTTTTGCCAGGGTCAAACTACAATATATGCATGCTACACAGACATTCGATAAATATTTGTTGAATAAAAAATACATATGTACTATTATATTTTTAGTTCAAAAACTATAAATTAAAAAGCACATATTTCACATATTTTAATGTATTAGTTTGAATACACTTCTAGTTTGCCAGAATCCTTTAGAGCTAATACATACAGTCTTGTTTCATTCCAAACGCAATACATCTCTGTAGCCTGCAGTACTGACAGCGGTTTCGATGGTGTTTATTAATAATACAGTCCTTTGAGCCTCGACATGAATATACTAAATTTTTTCGGATACTTCTTTTAAAAAATCCTTTGCAGCCTTCACAAGTTACTGCTCCATAATGACGTCCTAGAGATAAAATGTTTAAGAAAATACAGAAGTCCTATTATTTCAGAACAAAAATGAAATAAATCCATTTCTTCCCTTTAAACAATGTATTAGATGAAACAGATATTTGAGTTCCTGACACAAAAAACATTTTTAGGAGTTATTAAACAGAAAATGAAACAACTATATTCTCTGATAAAACAATATGAAGTATTTTTAATTTTGTAAGGTAAGCTTAACAATGGTACAGAAAATTTGGGAAAGGGAACTAAATCACCCATAATCCCATTACTTAACATAAAAAACGATTTTCACTTCTGAGATCACTTTCAAATTTTAGTTTTGTTATATACTGTATTACAGATATTTTAATCTGAAAACTATGCTCCAGAAAAAAGGATAAAATGTCAGCTAGTATTTGAAATACAATAATATCTCCTCACTGTGAGTTTCACTTTTGAAATTTTTGAAGAAATCTTTTACATTTTGATTAACCTGTTATTTCACAATTTCTTTTGCATACCTATTTAAGAATTGAATCCACTCTAGAAAAACCTCTAACAGAATTTTTGTATTAAAGCTTTGGAAAAGATTAACAGAAACAAACTAGGCCCTAAAACTATATCTCATTGGCATTTCTGAATGTTCATGAGCAGACATGTATTTTTGGCATGAAGTAACAAAGAACAGAACTAAAATGACTTAACCCTGACCACTAGTAGAAACAAGCTTTGAGAATAGCCCGCTCAGTTATGAAGAGAATTAAATAAAGGTTAACGAGGGTTTTTTCTATTAACTTCAACAACTCAAATTATGCTATATTTTGGAAAAGAATATATTAAGAATCACAAGTCATTTTTAAATGTTTTCTTTGCCAAAATTTCTAGTCTTCATATTCAAAAGTTTTCTACATGCTTCCCTTCAAAAAGTGAAACCTTTTATAATCCACTGAAATATGTATTTTATGTCATTACACAAATCAAATTAAACTGAAGTAAAAAAAAAGGTGAATAAAAAACTTTGGGAATCCAACTGCCCATCAATACATGAGTGGATTAATAAAATGTGGTATATGTATATCATGAAGCACTATTCAGCCACAAAAAACAATGGTGATATAGCACCTCTTGTATTATCCTAGATAGAGCTGGAGCCCATTCTACTAAGTATCACAAGAATGGAAAAACAAGCACCACATGTATTTATCATCAAACTGGTATTAACTGATCAACACTGAAGTGCACATATAGTAATGACATTCATCAGTGTTGGGCAGGTGGGAGAGGGGAGGAGAGGTGGGTAAATTCACACATAATAGGTGCAGTGTGCACTGTCAGGGGGATGGACACACTTGAAGCTCTGACTTCAGCGAGGCAAAAGCAATATATGTAACCTAAACATTTGTACCCCTGTAATGAAATTTAAAAAAAAAGAACTCTTGTGAAAAAATTAAATTTTGTAGGCTACAAATATGAAACATTAAAATGACATGCTCCTCTATTTTTCTTTTTACTTTTAGAAGAAACATAATACTGTGGTAACTATTTTAACAGAACAACACGTACAGGAAGTTATTTTTAATGTTACCTGATGCTTTGTCTCCACATACAACACAAAGATCAAAAGCCTTATTTGGTCCCTGGTCTGTGGAAGAATTGTCTGTTAAGAGCTAAAAAAAAAAAAAAAAAAAAAAAAAAAAACAACCCTGTTACTCAATAACAATCTCATTCCATAAAAAAATGAAACAGTCTTGCTTTTTCACAAATTATTCTTTTTTTTTTTTCTTTTTTTTGAGGCAAAGTCTCCCTCTGTTGCCCTGGCTAGAGTGCCGTGGCGTCAGCCTTGCTCAGAGCAACCTCAAACTCCTGGGCTCAAGCGATCCTCCTGCCTCAGCCTCCCGAGTAGCTGGGACTATAGGCACGTGCCACCATGCCCGGATAATTTTTTTTTTCTATGTATTTTTAGTTGGCCAATTAATTTTTATTTTAAGTGAGCGGGATCTCACTCTTGCAAGGGCTGGTCCTGAACGCCTGACCTTAAGCAATCCTCCCGCCTTGGCCTCCCAGAGTGCTAGGATTATAGGTGTGAGCCACTGCACTCAGCCCCAAGTTATTCTTAAACTTTGAACTCTATGATTATATATATCAGTTAAACTAGTTGTAATTTTCTTTATACATAGGTGAAAATTTCAATGTTTTAAGAAACAAAGACATTAATTAAGAATATCTTTTAATTTATTCTACAATTCCATTAAAGTAACCAAACCATTCAACACACAAATACCTGAATATTTTTAATGCATTTTACCCATTAAACACTAAATATCATTCATATGGAACATGTCAAATTATTACAGTAATTATCAGTCCTAATATAAAATTTGTCTTTAAAGAGCTCAGAACCTTTCCACATGGAGTGAAATGACAAAAATAAGCTTATAATAGCATAAAAATATAACTCTAAACTTTTTAAACAGAAAAGGGGTTATAAATAAATTTTGTTGAGTAATTATAATTATGCAAATATGACTGCTATACAAAGGTATAAATTTTTCATTAATGAGTTAAGATTTGGGTTAGAAGTAGATTGAGAGCAGGCTGGGTGTGGTGGCTCACGCCTGTAATCCTAGCACTCTGGGAGTGCCGAGGAGGGCAGATCACTCAAGGTCAGGAGTTCAAGACCAGCCTGAGCAAGAGTGAGACCCCGTTTCTACTAAAAATAGAAAGAAATTAATTGGTCAACCAAAAATATATAGAAAAAAAAAATTAGCCGGGCATGATGGCACATGCCTGTAGTCCCAGCTACTCCAGAGGGTGAGGCAGGAGGATCACTTGAGCCCAAGAGTTTGAGGTTGCTGTGAGCTAGGCTGACATCACGGCACGCTAGCCCGGGCAAGAGTGAGACTCTGTCTCAAAAAGAATAAAAAAAAAAAAAAAAAAAAGTTGATTGAAAGCATGCACTCTGGAGTCTGATAAAGGATAGCATATCAGGGACCAGAAATAGGGCTGGGGAGGGATGGCTTTAAGCAAATTATTATGCCTCTTAAATTATATAAAGAGCTTATCACTAGGTACAGCTAATAGGATACTTGCAAAGGAATACTAGAGTTTCTTCTTTAAGATTTATCTTTCAACCTTTTCATCATTTTCTTTCATTCTTTTGAAATGTGAACAAATCATCAATTCAATCTAAAAATATGATTTGAGACCAGCTGGGGCAACATAGCCAGACCTCATCTCTACAAAAAAGTTAAAAATTAGCCAGGTGTGGTGGTACACCTGTAATTCACAGCTACTCAGGAGGCCGAGGCAGGAGAATCGCTTGAGCCCAGGACTTAGAAGCTGCAGTGAGCTATGAATGCACCACTGCACTCTAGAGCTTGGGAGATAGACCAAGTCTCTAAAAAAAATAAATGAATGAGCAAATAAAAATTAAAAGTGTAATATGGTATTTAGTGAACACTTTGCCCCTGCTTTAAAACAACAAAGCAGTCCTCTACTATGACTCTTTTTGTCACTTAGGTTATGAATGCCTTCAGGAAAAATTCTGGTTATAAGAACTTTAAATGGTTCTTAAAATGACTGTCCCTTACTGCGTAACATGTAACATCATTCCTTCTTATATCACCACAAAAATCAATCTTTAATAAGTTTTTAAACAAAACAAAAACTTCTGGTATTTGATGTTCTTTGAAAGCATCTATGACAAGTATCACTCTTTTCCTTAGTAGAATACCTACTGCAAATGGTGCTAATCTTTTATCTGCTATTATTCTTAAGGGTAGAAGAGATATTGAGAGGTTAAGGGAGTTGCCTAAATCCCATCTTAGGTCATTAGGCCAAAAATTAAATCTTCTTGGCCCAGGGGAATTCTAACCTTTACCTGTTACATCTTTCATTGCTTTTAGAAATGATCCATTAAAGTAGGCAAAGTACCAATATCATCCTTAAAAATAGATATTTTTAAAATTGCCTTGTCTTTGTCAGACAGAGAATTTTTTTTTAAAGGAGTAACTTTACAATGGAGAAACCTGACAAATACCAAACCACTTCAGCCAGGTGATCAAAGTGAACCTTATCAGTCATAAATCATGTTGAAAGTAAGTACCTTTTATATGATGTGATAAAGTAGCACTATGTATTCTTCATCCCCAAAACCCATAAGCCCTGTTCAATCATGAGAAAAACATCAGAGTCCAATAGTGGTGTATTCTACAATATATCTGGACCAGTACTTCTCAAAATTGTCAAGGTCATCAAAAACAAGGAAAGTTTGAGAAACTGTCCTAGCCATGAGTAACCTATGGAGACATGACAAGTAAATGTGATGTGGTATCCTGGAACAAAAAAAGACACTAGGTAAAAACTGAGGAAAGCCTAAAAACCAGTGAACTTTAGTTAATAATGTATTAATATTGTTTACTAATTGTAATAAATATATCATACTAATGTAAAATGTTAATAGAGGAAACTGTGTGTTTGGAGGATACTATGGGAACGCTGTACTATCTGTTCAATTTTTCCGCAAATTTAAGACTCTTCTAAAAAAATCAAGTCTATTAAAAAATTAGCCAGGAGTGGTGGTGCGCACCTGTAGTCCCAGCTCCTCGGGAGGCTGAGACAGGAGGATCACTTGAGCCCAGCAGTTTGAGGTTGCTGTGAGCTAGGCTCATACCATGGCAGTGTACTCTGGGCAACAGAGCAAGACTCTGCCTCAAAAAAAAAAAAAATCAAGTCTGTTAATTAAAAAATAATGTATGTTGTAAATATTTTGGTAGATTTTTATCTTCCTGATAAAATAGCTTCTTATAAGCCCTTAATTATGGACCTACACCTTTTCTACCTTAGTTTCCAAAAATAATACAAATATCATTGGAAGAATACATACATCAGGCAAAATTTCATGTTTTATGAATTGGAAGTTTTTCAATCCTAAAAAAATTTTATTTCATCAGTTTTTCATCACAAAACATGGGACCCCATTTTAAGTAGATACCCATCCAAAAAGTCTCTGTAGACAAACTCAAAGGTGTGTTGTATTTGTATTCAATCATAGCAACCAGCAGTAGAAACATCTATATAATCACAGACATGTAGTGTCTAAAAATCTTAACTGGGTCTTTGGAGAATAATGTAATTTTGTAATGCCAACAATGATTAAAATAATGTAATATTAATCTATGCTACTGACCAAGTTCCAGTGGAAAGCAGACCATGCTAGACTGACTAATTGTTATGTCATGAAGATGTATATGACAACAGAGGAGGTACAATGCTGAAGCTGGCAGTTGCTGTAGCAACGTCTTGATATGGCAGCTTCTTGCTCATGGCACAGGCAGCTTGGTTCTAGAAACAACAGCTACAGGAGCTGCTTTATATTTGACAATTTCCTAACCATGCAGAAGTAGGAGGTCTCTTAGAAGCTCGTTTTGCAGCCCGTTCCTACAGTTATTCCTGGAAATCTAGCCTAGAACTATTTCTTCAGTCTTCCCAGAAAAACAATTCTGTGAGGCTGGGCATAGTAGCTCATGCCTGTAATCCTAGTACTCTGGGAGGCTGAGTGGGAGGATTGCTTGAGGTCAGGAGTTCGAAACTAGCCTCAGCAAGAACAAGACCTTGTCTCTACTAAAAATAGAAAGAAATTAGATGGATAACTAAAAATAGGAAAAATTAGCAGGGCATGGTGGTGCATGTCTGTTATCCTAGCTATCCTGTTATCCTAGCAGGAGGCTGAGGCAGGAGGATTGCTTAGGCCCAGGAGGTTGCTGTGAGCTAGGCTGATGCCATGGCTGATGCTCTAGCCTGGGCAACAGAGCAAGATTCTGTCTAAAAAACAAACAAACAAACAAACAAAAACCCAATTCTGTGAGCTCTCTATATCCTATATTAAATTCCTTCCTGGCCACTCTTGCCAAAATGGATCTTACTGCATGCAAAGAACCCATTAAAATGAGTGTGAGGACTGTGAAGCAAAAGTACAGTGGCCCAAAGGAGAGGGCTGTCACGACAGATACTCTGTTTCATATAACTTTACACAAGATTTTTTTTCCCTACCGAATATGCATATATCTAAAGCCTTAATGGCAAGACTTACAATTACGTATTTTCTTTTTTTTCTAGTGTAAGATGAAAAGACATTTCTATAGTTATTTACCTGGAGGTGTTGTGCAGACAGATCAGGAGTGGTAAAAAATAGTTGGTTGACACCTGCTGCATCTGGAGTTGTGAGGAAAACTTTTCCTGGAGTGGAATCTTGCCTGGCCAGAATGACTTTGCTTGGAGTAGAAGCATCATGATTTGTCAGAATGAACTGCTTGCCTTGTGTATTATGATCAAGCGCTGTCACAATCTGGATTTTCTGCCCAGTTTGCTGCTCTGTAACAATCTAACACAATCATGTCAAATTAATAATCAATTCAACTCAATCTTTTCTCTAATGATCCAATTTTCTCCTATCTTCAAAGCTAGGAAATCACACCATTACGCATACATATGTTCACTATAATACACACACACAAACCCTTTTTAAACTAGCAATTGTACTTCCATAAAATTCTAGCCTACAGAAATAAACAAATGTGTAAATAATTAAAGGTATGAGAATAGAACACTTTGACTGCACTATTTTCTTTCCTTCCCCTTCCTTCCCACCATCCATTTAAACAAACATATTTTGTTTGTCTAAATATGTTTACTTATGTCTGCATTATTTGCAGTTCTGCACCCTGGGATGTGGCGGTGAACCAAATAAAACTACTGCCCTCATGATGCTTTTATTTTAGTGCGGAAAAACAAATAATAATAAATAAGCAAATAATACTGTCAGGTGGTACTAAGTGCTATGACGAAAATCAAGGAAAGGTGAGGTGAGACACTGACAGAATGACAACAATGAAACTCTAAGGAGATGATTACTTTTGCACAGATGAGAGAAGAAACATACCAAAGTATAAGACCACGTAGGGGAAGAGCAGCCCAGGCAGAGGAAATAAAACAGATTAAGGTGTCCCTGATGCAGGAGAGAGTGTGTTTGAGAAAACTGAGGCACAAGGCCCAGCAAGACAGCCACGTGAGTGAAGCAGAGTGGAAGACAGGCAGGCACTATGGTAGGAGATGGGATCTGAGCAACACCTGGGGCCAGATCTTATAGGACTTTTAGGCCCTGAAGTCTAGGTTTCCTACTGTGTGAAATGGAGAGCCATTGGAGGGTTTGGAGCAGAGGAGTGGCAGGATCTCACTTTTTGAAACAAGATCACTCTGGATTTAGTGTGAAGAACAGACTGCAAATGTTCAAGAGCAGAATTAACGAGATCAAAAAGGATACCATTGCAGATTCGGTTAGTATCTGGTTAGCACATATGGGCAGAGATACTGGCCAGGAACAGAGTAGTAGCCATGCTGGGGGTGAAAAGGTGACAGGATGTGCTGATGAACTGGAGTGGAATATGAGGAAAGAAGAGACAAAGATGATTACAAAACTTTGGCCTGAGCAAATTGAGAGGACAGAACTGCTATCTACTGAGATGGCGTAGTCCGGGGGAAGAACAAGTTCATAAATAAACCATCCCAGCATTGAGGGTCCTGAAAAGTTTTTGTTGATATGGATTGTATCAATTGATATATAACATTAGAAATTCAAAGAGAAAATTTTTAAATATTTGATAAATTTAAAAATCAATGCCCACGAAATGTTAACATAATTTTTTAAAATGAAAAAAGTTCATTTTCCAGACAAACAAAAATTTAGTGGAGAGAGTAGCACCATTTTACACTTTTGCAAACTGCTGTATTTTTTTTTTAAATATACAGGGTCTCAACTATGTTGCCCAGGCTGGCCTCGAACTCCTGGCCTCCAGTGATCTTCCCACCTCAGCCTCCCAAGTAGCTGGGAATACAGGTGCAAGCCACTTAACCCAGCTAATGTCTGGTTTAACAGAAGCTGGAATCTCATATCTGCCTCTTCATTCAATCTGTTCTAATATGTTGTTTTGATTAAAATACATAAAGAAAATCCAGCCTCACATCTATTGGTTGAGAGGGGGAAGGGTATTTTAACAGCCTTTTCAAACTGCGGAAATTGTTCTTTGATACATCAAAACTCAACAAGTGGTAGCTTTTTAAAGGTTAGGTGCAATGTGGCATCAGAAACTATATTAAAATCTGTTGGTCTATGCTGCAATTTGAATGGATCCTTTTCTTATGCATGATTTTATAATATACACTGGTCATTTGGAAAACAATGGTTCACTGAGTTATGTATACCTTTTAAATATTAACACATTTCATCATGTATCATCACATGTCATATAGCCTTGTGGAAAATTCTACTGTATACTTGTGAGAGAACAACAGTAAAAGACATAATATTTAAGTATTATTATGAAAACAGTTTGGACCTTGCTGATTCTCTGAAAGAGTCCCTATACGATACTTTGAGAAACTCCAGATTATGGTACCTCTGACTAAGGAATAGGATATACCTGTTTAAAAAATGAAGATGTCTGTATTGACACAAACTAACTCTTATTGGTCCACCAAAACTGGCCTCAGATTTTATATCCTACAAAATACATTCCCTGGTCAGGTCCCTACCTACTCTACAATGCTTCATTAGCTGTTTTTCTTCTCTGCTCCCATAGCACCCTATACAATCATCTATCATAGCACTTACCACATTCTGTTGTGACTGTTGATTATTCAACTATCTTTCACTAGCTTGAAAAGCTATCTTAGGGGTTATCTTTTATATCTGTATCTGCAAAACCTAGCATATACATTTATTGTAAATAATAGAACTTTGGTGAGTCAGTAAATGAACTGTAAACTAGACGTACCTCTCCCATTTGTTGCTCAATAATTTGATGTGCAATTTCTTCTATAGTTGCCATGATCTAAATGCCAAAATGTCCTGCCAAAAATTAAAAAAATGCTTTTTAATAATTATACTCATAAAAACATATTTATTGAAGAATTTACAAGTAAAATTATGATATTTAGAATTTGCTTTGAAACAATGCAGTCGGGGTGGGTAGGACTGGGAGGGATTAGACAAAATATAATACAATTGTTCAAATATTGACAATTGTTGGACACAGTTAACTGGTGAATTTTACATATATGGATTTATGAAACTATTGTCTGCTTTTGTATACTCTGAAAATATCTGAAATACTCTGAAATACAAATACAAAACTATTCAACACCTAGCAATTTCCTTTTCAAATATACTGAAGCATAAACAGAACTCTGATATGGAAAAGGAGTTGTAGATTATTGATTTAAATAAGGGCAACCCTATCTGTGAACAAACTCATCACTGTAGCCATTTAACACACTCTTTTATCAATATTTTGTAAAACACTAAAAAAAAAATAACAAATCACATCCATTAAAAGATTTCTATAGGCTACTTCTGGGAAAGAATGGGCAGGTAGAAAATTATGTGCATTTGGCGGGTTTCGCTCTCTTCATAAATATTTGATTATTCTGCAGCCGAGGGAGCCGGACGCGTGAAGAGGTAGTGACGCCATCACTGCCAGAACAGACTGCTTCGGTTCCCCGATAGCTACGTCTGTGGATTTTAAAACTTATTTAGATCAGGCATGTGGAGCTGCCAAGGAATTTGTCAATATTTACTATGAGACAATGGATAAAAGAAGACGGGCACTAACCAGGCTATATCTGGACAAGACTGCTTTAATATGGAATGGAAATGTTGTTATAGGGCTGGAAGCCCTAACTAATTTTTTTTGAGATGTTGCCTTCTAGTGAGTTCCAGGTCAACATGTTAGATTGTCAACCAGTTCATGGGCAAGCTACCCAGTCTCAGACTACGGTTTTTGTCGTGACCGGTGGAACTGTGAACTTTGATGGAAAGAAACAACACTACTTCAACCAGAGCTTCCTGCTGACTGCTCAGTCCGTTCCTAACAACACTGTAGGGAAGATTTCAAGTGGTTGCTTCTGTTTTCAAGACTGGGGGGAAAGTCCATTCTCCTTTGGTACATTAGTTCCAGCAACAAATTTATGTGAAATTAATTCATTTCATTGTAGAAGCACTATAAATACTATGTGCTGAGATCAAATTTCTTTAATAATTTTTTATTCCTAGCAGCTACCAGTTTGAATTGTTGCCCTTAAGAGCTTTAATGCTGGTTTTTTACATGCCTTATATACATTCCACTAATGACATTCTTATAGTAGTATCAAACATACACTGTGAACCCAGCCTACCACAAAAATAAAATCCTTTTATAATACCAAAAAAAAAATAAAATGATTTCTCTAGAATTCTGTGATTTTTCTTCATTAGTGGTAATCTTATATACATATTAAGGTTAATTTGAATTTAATGCATAACTGTCTCCAAATGAATTTGAGAGCCTGTAAGATTAATGGACTGATTTTGACTTTCACTTTTTCTCTATATCATTCAGTGAAGAATACAAAATTTTATTTGTGACTTTATAGACTGTATATATCATATATTCACTAATATTCTATAATTATAATAGCCAAATCATGTGAATTTTCTTTTAGTGACTTAAAAATATTAAATGCATCAATTAATTGTGCTAAAAGCAATCCTCAATATTTAGCTTGATTATTCAATTATCTCTTACTAGACTGAAATGGGGTGGCCCTAACCTCTCTGAAACCAACAGAGGAAGAGACAGCTTTGCTCTCTAGGGGCCTGTGCCCTTTGAGCCTAAGGTGACTGAGGCAGCCTGGCTGATCTCTGACCCACCTTTGGAGACACTCCTCTTTTTTTATTGTTTGTTTTTTTTTTTGAGACAGAGTCTCACTCTTTTTGCCCGGGCTAGAGTGCTGTGGCATCAGCCTCCTTCACAGCAACTTTAAACTCCTGGGCTTAAGCAATCCTACTGCCTGTCTCCCGAGTACCTGGGACTACAGGCATACACCATCATACCCAGCTAATTTTTTTCTATATATTTTTAGTTGGCCAATTAATTTGCTTCTATTTATGGTAGAGACGGCCTCTTACTCTTGCTCAGGCTGGTTTCGAACTCCTGACCTTGAGCGATCCACCCGCTTCTGCCTTCCAGAGTGCTAGGATTACAGGCGTGAGCCACCAAGCCCAGCCCCAACTAATTATCTTAAGATTCAAGTCTAGGAAGGCACAGATACAGTGACATAAAGTCAAATCTATAATCCTATTTTGATCATTACCTATTTCCCTTCCTAAACTATCCATAAATATATACTTGTATGGAAATAGATTTATGAAATAATTCAAATACATCCTATAATCCTGTTCATTTTTTAAAATTCCGTTACTAAACAAGAGGGAATTTATCTAACTTAATTAAAAATCCTGTCAAATTCAGTTCTACTAAAATTCAGATATTTACAGGACATTATTACTCACTTGGATAGACAAATTAAAAATTGGTAATGACAAAACCGGTGAGCATAAAATAGGTATTTGGCATGGACAGATATTTACGAGAGTGTATCAGTCACTTTGAGTGTGACAAAAGCTCAAATGCTAGTTTAAACAAAAAAGACAAACAGGGGAGGGGGAACATACACTGCCTGCTAGGACAGTGGTAGAGCTGACCTTGGAGAAAATTGTAGGTCGGGTCTCAGATGCTGTTGAGAATCTCCCTGTTTCTATGCTCAGCTTCTATGTGGCGTTTTTTTTTTTTTTTTCAATGTTGTATAGTAAAGCGTCAGAAAAGGAAAAGTAGTCTTTTTTATTGAAAAAGAGTCTCACTCTGGTGCCCTGGCTAGAGTGCCGTGGTGTCAGCCTAGCACAGCAATCTCAAACTCCTGGGCTCAAGCCATTCTCCTGCCTCAGCCTCCCCAGTAGCTGGGACTACAGGCATGTGCCACCATGTCCGGCTAATTAATTCTGTTTTTTGGTAGAGATAGGACTCGCTCTTCCTCAGGCTGGTCTCCAACTCGTGAGCTCAAACGATCTGCCGTCTTGGCCTCCCATAGTGGTAGGATCACAGGCGTGAGCCACCACGCCCAGCCACTTTTCTAATTCCAATTTAAAAATCCTTGTAATGCTTTCTGATTGGCTCAGGTTAGATGATATGTTCTCGTTCTGGATTAATTACCATAGTTGGGCCAAGAAGAGGAAAGGGAGGGTTATGATTGCCAGCTTCCATTTTTGGAAGTCCTATTTCCCAAAAGATGGAGACTTGCATAGACATGGCTACAGATAGATTATCATGAGCTAGACAACCACTTCAATTTATTTCTACTCCTGATACACAAAACTCTTCAGCCAAAAGTCCACTGAGCATTATTAAACTATTCAAAAAATTTAAATCACTACTGACTCCAAATTTCTATTGTTAGTTGGGGAAATCTCCAGAAGAAAGGGGAAAAGCTCTTATTCTCATACACCAAGAGGTCTACTTTTGGCCACATTCAGATGAAGGTCCTTCTAATTTCTTGTAAATTTCCTTAGTAAAGGACAAATTTAGCTAAACAGGCTGTCTGAAATAATCTCCAAACTAGAATTTCCAGAGAATTCTCGAAATTAATTTTGCTTTGTTCCCCACAAATAAACATGCTATAAACATAACAAAACAAAACAAAAAGGGTAAAAGGGCCCAAGAAGTGAGGGGCAGGCAGCCTTGCAATCCTCAACATTCAAAACTTAAGGACTGGAGTTTAAGAACCCAGCTGTACTGATACACAGAATCTTCTTGATGGGGAGGGACTACTGACAGAGTTCGAAAACAATCAAATTAGCTTTGGGTTGCAAGTCCAAATTTTATTCCCAGCGAGGAGGCTCACAAAGATAGATTCAGTGGCAGGGAAGAGAGAGACACAATTTTTCATGTTTTCTGAAGAAAATTAAATTTAAAAGGAATCATTATTCTTTTCCGAGACAGAGTCTCACTCTGTTGCCCAGACTGGTGTGCAGTGGAGTCATCATAGCTCACTGCGCCCTCGAACTCCTGGGCTCAAGCGATCCTCCTGCCTCGACCTCAGGACCTCAAATACGAACGCTCATGTACAACTTCTGGAGGCACGAAAATCCGAAAGGCCTTAATTTCAAGTCTTTTTGCTTTGCTTTGCTTTTCTAGTTACTTGTTTACAGGCTGACCTACTTATTGAAGGTTATGGGACAACTTGGCAACATTTGTATTTTATAAAATTATATCTGTAAGAGTTTGAGGAAGGGTTTCTAAACAAAAGAGCTATTGGAAGCTCGGACGTGCCCAGTGCAGTGAGAGAGGACCCTAGACCATTCCATTTCTTTTCCTCAATAGACAGCGGCTACTCTCGCCCCATCTGTGTGGTAAAAGAAAAGTGAAAGCAGAGGGCGTCATCCTGTCCGTGTCGTGTAAGCACGAGAGTCAGTGAGCGGCCCTGGGGAAGGGGGTCCAAGCCTGGCCCGCAGCCCCGGAGCAGAGGGCCGGGCTCCCCCGAGTCCCGCCCGTGCCCGCCGTGCGCCCTCGGGCCCGGCCGCAGCTCCCTGGGGCGGGGGAAGCGGCGGCGCCGAGACGGAAGCTTTTCCTGCAGGTGAAAGGTCAGAGGCCCCGCGGGAGAGGTGGCCGTGCGCGCCGAGCGCCGAGCCGCTCGCGGGCTGTCCCGCACCCCGCCGCCGGGGCCACTCTCGGCGCCTCAGGCGTCCGGCCCGCCACTCCGGCCGCTGTCCGCGCTCGCAGCCCAAGCCGAGCAGCCCGCCGCGGCACCGGACCTTGATGTGGGACCCGCCGGCCGGAGCCCGCAGGCTGTGCGGGTGCGCCAGGGCTGCGTCCGTTGGCAGTTAGGTTGACGGAGCACCCCCGCCCCCCGCCGCGAGCGCTGGTCTCCCCACCCCGCACTTCTTACCTGCGCCTCTCCGCCGCCTTACCCCTGCGTCGGGCGCCGACCCGACTGTCCCACCGAGGCGGCTGCTGGGCTGGGGGCGTTCCAGGAGGAAAGGTGGGAGAAAGCTGAAAGGAGGGGGGATCCAAAATAAAGGGGGAGGGACCTTGCTGGGTTTGTGTATTTGTGTGGGGGGGTCAGAGTTCGTGACCCCTCCTTCGGCTCGGCAGTGCGCGATCCCTCCCGCGCCTGCGCATTGGCGAAGCGGCGAGAGGAGGTCGTGACGTTCCCTGGGTGGGGTGGAGCTACCCGAGAGCTGAGCCGCGGCTCTGAAAGTCGACGGCCCCCTATCGGCTTGGAGGGAGACGGCGTCTCCTTCAGGTACTTTTAGGAGCCACATGTGTTTAGTATCGTGTTTGCCAAAGATGGTCATTAAAGGAAATTTTGGGCCCGGCGCGGTGGCTCACGCCTGTAATCCTACCACTCTGGGAGGCCTAGGGGGGCGGATCGCTCGAGGTCAGGAGTTGAAAACCAGCCTGAGTGAGACCCGGTCTCTACCAAAAAAATAGAAAGAAATTAATGGACCAACTAAAAATATATATACAAAAAATTAGGCAGGCATGGTGACGCATGCCTGTAGTCCCAGTTCCTCTGGAGGCTGAGGCAGCAGGATCGCTTGAGCCCAGGAGATTGAGGTTGCTGTGAGCTAGGCTGGCGCCACGGCACTCACTCTGGCCTGGGCAACAAAGTGAGACTCTTGTCTCAAAAAAAATAAATAAAGGAAATTTTGAATCAGCGTTTCAGATTTGAGTAATGAAATAACGCAGTCGGTTTCAGGCAGTGCTGTTTCTAATTTCTGGAAAACTAGGCTCTCTCTGGATAGATTCCAATCAGATATTTAAACTTCTTTAGGTTGGTAGTGACTTATCTCACTTGATTGTTCAGTTACAGATTGAACTTCTTGTTCTACTACTTTCCCACCTCCTCACTACTTTACTTGACTAGTTTTTAAAAAATAAATTTCCTTTAAATATAACAAGCAGAGGCAGAATCATGTATAGTAAAGCAAATTTTACTTGTCAACTATTATGAATAAAGAGAGAATGGCTAAAGGGAGCAAGAATATAATCACTAGAATGTAAGTGACCCAAAGGCTGACTTTTGTGGTTTGTTCAGTAATGTATTTACCACAGGACAATGCATGCTGGTCAATAAAGATTTGTGAAATGAAAGGGCACTGATGAAATATTACATTCTGACAGTGACCACCTGTGACAGGGAGGTGTGGCTGGAAGAACTGCCCTATGTGCAAAATACTTTGTAGCTTAGATTTTAAGGGGTCCTCAGAATTTCTACTGTATCTAACTAGCATAGGTTGGCACTGTAGAAAAGCAGCCTTAGATTCAGGGCAAAAATCCAAGTTAGGGAAAAACAAATGTTTGCTGGGAACAAGAACATGTCTGTTATTTCCTTAGGGAACTAGGCAGCTGGACACAGGTAAAGGGCATGTAGCATTCCCTAAAAAGTAAAAATATGCTTTATGTTATGCTCCATTCTCTAAAAAGGTCCACTTCTGCCTTTTATCATCATTTGTTGTGTTTGGGTTGGTTTTAAGGCAGCCCCTCCACACCTCCCACATATCCTTAAGGTGGTCCCAAAGGTGAAAGCTATGAAAGTATAGTCATGCCAAGGATATGTTCTGAGAAAGTCATTAGGTGATTTCATTGTTATGTGCACATCGCAGAGTATACTTACACAAACCTGGATGGTACAGCCTATGACACACCTAGGCTATATGGTGTAGCCTATTGCTTAACCTAAAAACATAGGATAAACCTATACAGCTCAGTGCTATACTGAATGAATACAACTGTAACACAATGGTATTTGCATACCTAAACATAGAAAACCTGCAGTAAAAATATGGTATTATAATCTTATGCGACCACTGCTGTGTATGTGGTCTGTCATTGTCTGAAACATTATGCAGTACATGACTGTATACTACAGAGCCAATGGAAAGAGGTGGTCTGAGACATTTTCTCTATTCTTGGCGCAGAATATGCATGCCTATACTGATGCTTGTGGTTACCCCTTATCATCCAATTAATTCACTTAAGTCACAATAAGTTGACTTGTTGAAACTTGGAAGTAGAAGCTATTTTGGGAACATCATTTGTAGGTGAAGAAGAGTCTCCCTTAATGATGCTTCAGGAAAAGAGATCAATGATGTTCATCTTTAAAATGTGTGACTTGAAAAAAAGGTGTTTAGAAGACATCATCACAGCAGTGGTAGGTATTATAGTAAATTTATTTTCATAAATATAATACATATTAACAATATTTACAATGCTATTTTTTTTATTTATAAAGGATCCGTATCTTTATATGGACAATAAGACACAAACTACTATCACTTTAAGTAAAAAGCATTTCTAGAAATACATTGTAAGTCACTTAAAAAAATAGTATTTCAAGATTGGTTCTTACATGCTATGACCAACTCATATGAAAGGAGTTGCCCCCCTCTTCATCCTTTCCTCCCACCCCAAAGGAAAAGGAATTTGATATTTAGGCCTTTTGAAAATTTCCCATTACCTTTTATCATTTTAAAAAATCCTCCTAGAAACTCTCTCTTTTCCTATAGGGGAAAAACCATAGATAAGCTTTTCCTCTAAAAAAAGACATTAAAAGTGGCATAGGTTCCAGAATGATAAGTGTATTACAGGCACTTTGGAAAAAAAAAAATCAGAAGGAATGGATAGGAAGGAATTTAATTCAGCAAATACTGAATGTCCACTGCATGCAAGGCACTCTGCCAGATGCCATGGGGGAATCTCAAATGAAGAAAAGTTGTTTTCAAGGACAGAATGTGCTAAGCATCACACAAAAGTTTATGAACTAAAGGTTATGGGAGCACAGAGGAAGAAGCAACTGGATTTAGTCTGCAGAAATAGGGGAGAGGACAAGGATCAACTATCACAGAGAAGTCTTAGATAAATAGGCAAAGATGGGGGCTGGGGAGGAAGAGGGAAAAAAAAGAAAGGAAACTGTGAACAGAGAAAGGTGGCGTCAGAGTTAGCTGAAACCTGAGGAAGTATTCCATGCCAAGCCAGTGGGAAAGCCGCTTAAGGTTATAAAAGCAGAGATGAAACTAGATTAGAACTATGTTTTTCAAAGACTGCTCTGGCAGTATTTAAAATGGAACCACACAAAGAAGGCATTGAAATTAGAAAAAATTATTGCAATCAGGGGAACAGGTAACAAGGACTTGAGCCAGGGCCTATGCAATAACAGCAGTGTGAAGAGGGTGGAAAGGATACAAGAGCAGTTGCAGAGTCTTGTTGAGACTTGGAGCCAGATTCTGGGGCCTTGAATGGTGTCTTTCCAATACAGAAGAAAATAAACAGATTTGGATGGGAAGAAAGTGAGTTGAGTTTTAGTCATGTAAAGTTTTAAAAGCTTAAGGACTCACATAGATATCCAACAGGTAGTTGCAATTGTGGTCTTGCGGGTGAGTGGAGAGAGTAGGTCTAAGATCTGAGTTACACAAAGTGGGCATTTTGGGACTGTGTTTGCATTGTAGAAGACAAGAATCCTGTCCTCACTTTCTTCTATTCAACTGAACAAATACTTCTTCTTAAAAGACTCAGGGAGCCCCCTATAGTCCCAGCTATCAGGAAGGCTGAGGCAGGAGGACCGCTTGAGCATTGGAGTCCAACTTGGGCAACAAAGCAAGACCCCATCTCTTAAAAAAAAAAAGACCCAAGGTAGAAGCTATGGAAGAAACTCACATATTAGATACAGCATCTTCCTTCAAGGAGTGTACAGGACAAGAGAACCAGGATATACCTCTCTGGAAATCCCAGTGACTACATTTGATTGACTACAGTGGGTCAAAAGCTGAGCACAATGGAAGTACATTCCAAGACATATCAATATATGCTAACATTTACATTTAACTAAATTATCACATAGGAGGCTTTCCTAATTTCCAGATATATTCTACCAACCAAACATAAAATATACCTTTGGCTAACAAAACTACACTTTAAAGTTGTCTTCTTCACTTAGTTGTACCATTATAGTTTTAATGTGAATCAAGAGTTAGTCTATACAGAAGTAGAAAATTGACATAAAAAAAAAAGAATAAAATAAAAATAAAAAAAAAATAAAAAAAGAGTTAGTCTGATGGTCTCATTTAAAGAAATGCTACTAAACACTCAAAGAATCAAGCATCTGGGCAGCCCAAGGACAATAGGGGGATGTTGGGTATATCAGAGAATAGGGGGAAAGACATTAGAAAGAGGTTCATAAATGTGGACGATGCCAGAGACAGCCATTCTCATTTTTTTAGGACTCTGATGGGTCCTGTAATTTATAGTTGCCACAGATAAAGGAGCAGCACTAGTTGGGAACGCTCGCTAAGAGTTCCAGTCTTCCCCTAGTTCAGCCTGGCATCTGGTCTAGGTTATTTTCAGCATCTTTTTAAACTTCTTTCTCCTCCTTATGAATAAAAGGAGACACCTGGAAAAGGTTTGGATGGAAGCACATGTTATCTGTGTAATTAATACAGTATTCTTGGGATCTAGATACTCTTTATAATTTCTTCCCATTTACAGACCTAAATTTTTTTCCTCTAAACTGTTAGCTATCAAGAGATAATCTTTCAAAGTAGCTTTACAACAAATTGCATATAATTAGGATCTTGGATGACAGTGAATGAGCCAGGTTACATAAATAACAATGGGTCAATTTTAGTAAGTTATGAAGGACTGATAAAGGGGAATGGGAATGTAATACTATTCCACATTTCAAATATCTTTCTGAGGAGAAGGTAATCTGATAGCTTCCTCAAAGGCTATATTTTATATTGTCCAAAACCCTCCATGGGGCTAAGCCAATAGTTAATACAATCATACACGAGTTTCACATGTAATTAAGGATAATTACTGTAAGTTTGTGCCAGGTTTCCTCTCTCTCTCTCACAGTTTTGATTCTGTCAGTTCTTGGAAAATATAATGGCCTGGCTGATAATTTTTTAGACTCTAAGGCTTAAGCGAAATTATGTAGTTAGAAGGCTGAGAGCTCAAGAGGAGGGGGAAGAACTCCCCAATAACCTGTCTTGCTAAATGCCAGACTTAACGCAGAAGGAAGCACTTTATAATGTATAATCTTGGCCTCCAAAAAGGATACACCAAAAACTGTGCAGGAACTTTAACATGGAAGCCATATTTATATGACCTTGATTAAAATAAGTGAGCCTGTGGCTCATGCCTATAATCCTAGCTGAGGCGGGAGAATTGCTTGAGCTCAGGAGTTTGAGACCAGCCTGAGAAAGAGCGAGACCCCGTATCTACTATAAATAGAAAGAAATTAGCCAAACAACTAAAAACAGAAAAAATTAGCCAGGCATGGTGGTGCGTGCCTGTAGTCCTAGCTACCTGGGAGGCTGAGGCAGGAGGATTGCTTGAGCTCAGGAGTTTGAGGTTGCTGTGAGCTAGGCTGACGCCACCCCACTCTAGCCCAGGCAAGAGAGTGACTCTGTCTCAAAAAAAAAAAAAATGAGCTGCAAAGAAATATTAGTTTACCTGGTATGGTAGAAAGACTTAGGAGATGGCATGTTAGGATTCTGTATGAAGTTGTAAGAGGATTTAAAATGATTTAATGGCAAGAAATAGCCAGAAAAAACTATAGCAGCCAACTCTAGATCTAGTAGGGACTCTGGTGCTGCAGTGGACAGCAGTCAAAAGGCCCCAGAAATGCACTTAGTAATTCTCTTGGCTGCCATTATGTATCACACTGAATTAGGAAATCCTCTATATAGAAGCAGAAAGGAAAATTCCTTTGCCCTTTAATGAATAATTCTCTGGATAACCTTGCCTTTAAGATAATTTATAGTGTAAATTCAGCCAATAAAATGTATTAATATATTATGAACATCGGGAATGACTTTTAATCACAGTGTTAATTTCATTTTTCTTTTACTAATCAATAATTTTATGTACAAGGTAGTTCCTATGTTAAACAATAAGTGCACCAGAATTATGAAAATAAAGCTTTCCTAATGAGGTGCACTGACACCTGGTTAAATAAAGGACTTTTTTAATTATCAGGGAGGCCATATCACCAAATGGTATATGAAGACCTTTTAAAAGTGAATACTATACAATTTCAGTTATTACTGGCTTAGAATTTGTGCTTTTCCTATATGGTAATTCCAGTTCATTTTGCAAAGCACAATATTATAGGAAATTTTTTTAAGATACAAATACCACCATTGCCTTGGGCTCAGAACTCTTAAAATAGCAGAAGATATTATATAATGTAATGCTTGCCATATTTTGCTATTTTAAAAAATAATATATTTATGTTTGTGTTGAACCGAGGCTTTTAAAAAAGACTGGACTTAATGAAAAGCCCATAGATTTAATTATGTGTGTTCCTCTGCAAATGAAAACATCCTTATTCCTACTCACAGTTAAAAAAGCACTCAGATTCTATCCCTTTGCTATAATTCTTTGTTGATGTAATATTAACTCATGCCAAAAGAGGTACATAACAGTAGAAATACTTTAGATAATATATTGAAATTTCATTTCACAGTTACTGAGGTAGAAGCTGGCCATATATTTTTCCATTAAAAGATATAAAAATCATCTAAGTTTATTGATTCAAAGACATGCATTTTTTCATCAGCAGTTTTATAATAATTCCTAAACCAAGCACTGCATGGAAATTTATTCCTTGATATGTGTTTTTAACTTACAAAGATTTACCACTAGTAAGAATGTTACAACATAAGGTAGAGAAAACAGTGTCGACTGTGTCACAGATAGTTAATACAGTATACAGTATTAAGTAGGTTTTCTATTCTCTAAAGAAATGGTACTTTAGAATTCAGTGTGAATCTCAGAAATAATTCTGACCATTAAGTAAACGTCAAAATTTTAATAAATAACATACATGAAAAAAACAAACAATTTCAAAACAAGTACTTATTACCTAACAAAATAATTTCTCATATCTGATGAAAAGTCTACTTGGATTTATCTTGGCAGTGTTCATTTTTATAAAACTTTTGAATTACATTTACTCCATTTTGATGAAATTCCACCTCCTTGGAGCCACAGAAGAGATGAAACCATTACTGCTACAATACTGTGCCTTCCTGAAATGCTTCTATCCACCTGTTGATAAGAAAAATCTGTTAGGCTTGTAAAATCCAGTCATCTGAGATACATGAACACGATATACATAATGGCTGGGCCTGTGGACCTGATTACCCCAACAGCATATGTAAGAGCTTTCCGACAGCAAACTGGCATTCTCTGTATATGGGACTGCCCTTTATCTGGTAAGTCGGTACAAAACTTGGCCTGGAAAGTAAGCCTCTTATTTCTGTGAGGCATGAAGAATGACCATTTCATGTGTAGAAGTTCTATGAAATCCTGATAATTGGTTATGAAAGTAGATATACTACCCAAGGCCTTTACTACAATTCCCTTTCTCTTTTATGTGATATTCTGACTCTATGCTTTTAGAAACACTAGCTATGTCCCTGTCTCCTCCTGCCTTAACTCCACCAACCAGTTTCCTTGTATATCCTCTAGTCCAGATCTGTTTCAATATTTTCAAGTAAAAGGAACCTGGCATCTTAGTTGATCAAAATTTTGTATGTAATATAAAAGCTTCTCAGAGTTCCACAGAAGTCTTTTCAAAATGCCTTAGTCTCAAAACAAAGTTTTATTTGACCATATACATAGCCTCAATTATTCAAAAGACACTTGGGAGTATAATTGCTTCTGAACTTTTTTTTCTACTTTCTTACTGTAGTATCATTTCTTATAGTAATACTTTATGTAAAGAAAGCCAAGGGAAGTAAGAAGATTTGAAATCACTCAATTAAATTAGTAAGAGCAGCCTATATTAGTAAGATTCAGCTCAAATTTCACGGACAGAATTAACAATAATTTAAATTTTGAACATAAATAGCTTATAAATTGTATCATAATAGCAAGGCTTTTAAAAAGCCTCCCAATCTTTCCACTAAAATTAACACATTTTAATATTCTGTCATGTGTGAAAAAAACAAGCCATATGATATCAATCACGTCACAGAGAAACTCATAATTTAGCTTGGGCCAATTCTAAATGACAAGTAAGCTGATTTCCTTTACCCAACTACATTTAATTCTGTCTTGACAGCATTTCTATCCTGTAAAATTAATGATATAAGCAAAAGATGATGTATATTGAAAAGCAGTAATTTTTATCAGTTTGATGAATACAGAAAAAAATTGTAAGAAAGATAATATCTGACAGAATTTTAGGGTAATTACTATATTGTTGAAGTAATTTTTATAGAAAAGATAGTTAAATTACATAATTTAAAAATATTCTTGGGGGAAAAATATTCTTCAGGTTGGGCATGGTGGCTCATGGCTGGAATCCCAGCACTTTGGGAGACTGAGGCAGAATGATCACTGGAGCCCAGGAGTTCCAGACTACAGTGAGCTATAATCAATCATGCCTCTGCACTCCAACCTGGGCAACAGAGTGAGACCCTATCTCAAAAACACAAATAAACAAAAGTCTTAAAGAAGTCTTACAGGATGTTTGTAACATTGTACCTGGTTGGCATTTAGGAACCCAAGCAATTCTGTTACATTAATTCTAACTGCCTTAAGAAACAACAAGCTTTGTTTACTCAAAGCATTCTTTTTTATTATCATTATTATTCACACACTTTTAAGCCCATTGAGGAAACATAAACACTGTTTACTGAAAAAAAAAAAAGAAAGAAAGAAAAGAAAGAAATGTACTTTTTGTGAGGGCAAAGTAAAAATCAAATAAAAGAGAGGTGAGCTGAACTATTTTGTTCAGAAGGGACCTTGACTTCATAGAGATATGCATATCTATGTTAAGCAAACTCACAACATCTAAATAAAGATTCTTATTGGAATTTTGAAGAGACTGTTTCAGCCTTTACCATCTAAAATCATATCCATTTCCTTCTACTCAGTCACCGGAAACAGCATGGGAGCCTCTTAATGCATTTGACCTTTTTCCCAAAGAAGTAAGTTTGCAAGCAGCTGTTTAAACTCCTGCTGTTCCATGGCACAATTGAATCACTGGCCTGCCAAAGTCTTGGAATGTTTCAAGGGAAGATTCTTACCCTCACTGAAGGAGAGGTCAAATGCCTCAGCTTCCCTTCCTTTCAGAAGATCAGCATCACGCTGCTTCCTCTGAAGTCATGTGTAGACAGAATACTTTATACACAACTACCTATTTTCTCTCCCGCCCCACCCCCTGAAAACATTCTAGATACCCTTGCCTTGTCTTAAAAAAATTCCAAAGAGTCTAAATAATATGTCAAGTCTTTCTAATTAGGATCTCTGATTTAGATTCTGAGTTGTCCTCATGCCTTAATGTAGGTCATTTTAACATCAATCCTTTAAAATAACAACTTGAAATCTCAGGAATAAAAGAAAAATGTGGTTAAATTACTTACTTCTGAGCTGAGTGAGCATCATCTGCTTTGAATATATAAAATAACATGTTTTTGTGCAGTAACTGAAATACTTTAGACTCTGAGTTCTCATCTTTGACTTGAGTAACAGTGAATCCTAGTAAAGGCTGACTCTCCAAGGCTGCCACGTCCTAAAAATACATAAATGGAGATTGTTTTTTTTTAATTGTTTTATTTCGGTATATTATGGGGGTACAGATTTTAAGGTTTCAATAAATGCCCATTTCCCCCCCTCCCCCCACAAGTCTGAGTCTCCATCATGACCATCCCCCAGATGGTTCGCATCTCACTCATTATGTATGTATATACCCGCCCCCCTCCCACCTGCCCAATACCCTATTACTGTAGTACCTATGTGTCCACTTAGGTGCTGTTCAGTTAATACCAATTTGCTGGTGAGTATATGTGGTGCTTGTTTTTCCATTCTTGGGAAACTTCACTTAATAGTATGGATTCCAGCTCTAACCAGGAAAATATAAGATGTGCTATATCACCATTGTTTCTTAGAGCTGAATAGTACTCCATGGTAGACATATACCACATTTTATCAATCCATTCTTGGATTGATGGGCACTTGGGCTGCTTCCACAGCCTTGCAATTATGAATTGTGCTGCTATAAATATTCGAGTGCAGGTGTCTTTTTTGTAGAGTGTCATTGGATCTTTTGGGTAGAGATTGTTTTATTTTTTTATTTTTTTTATTTTTTTTCTTTTTACAAGAGTTCTAACAACTTCATGAGATTGTTTTAAATTGAGACAAAATTCAGGTTTGAGAACTCTTGATCTATATAGCTCTAATTTAATTTCATTTACACACATATAAAGCAGTGATAATTCTAGCAACTTACTCGTTTTCCATTTATTCAACAATATTTACTGAGCCACCCTTCCCCATCTACCCCATGCTAGACACTGTATCTACTTTTGGCATGTTCACATCTATTGAATTTCACATTATTTTCATGACAACCAAAGATAGTAGGTGATTATATGACTTTCATTTTATGGATGCAGAAAACATAGCTCAGAAAGGTGATTTACCCGGATCCCACTAAGGAAAAATGTGGACCCTAGAATAACGGTTTTCACAGGATGTTGGAACACAGGATGATCAGATAGGAGAAAAGGACAGAAATAAACAGCTAGAAGTTATTTATAACCCAAACAAAAGCCTATACTTTTTATTTTATAATTTTGTTACAACCTCCAGCTATATTTCTCTCAACAACCCAAAGCCTATCATATCTATGCTGATATCTGATCAATACAATCTGGGGAAGACAGTAAAGGGAGTATCACTCCTGAGAGCTTGGCAAAAAGGAAAAGAAGTTTCCTTTAGTGTTTGCCTTCAAGAAGTAGTTAGTAGTCACATGATACCAAAAACACTTGTATTTTAATAATATGGAAAAATTCCTAACACATTTGAGTAAGAGCTCTCCAGGAACAAAGCAAGAATACTGTTCACATTAAAAATAACAGCAACAACACCTCCCCTTCCAAAAGCAAAACAAACAAAAACCCCACACAAAACAAATGGATTTTATAAATTTGTAATTATTTCAGCTGGCATTATCAAACAAGACCCCAAAATTACTCATCTTTAGATTTCAGATCTTACCTCACTTGCAGCGTATGTATATAGTACTTTATTTTTTATGACAAACCACAAGTGTTTCCAAGGTTTCTTATTGCCCTTTGATCTGTACAAGTAGCCACTCATAGAAGAATCTTCTGTGTTTGCTGATACCTAAATAAGCAAGCCCCATACATACAAAGTTTAATGTTTTTCACACAAATTATAATAGCAACAAACTTGCTTGTAATCATTAGGTATTGAAAGCAATAACCATAACAATCATAGAATATTTCAGAATTAAATCTACATTTTCAAAGTGTGCTAAGGTACAAACTGAATACTGCTATTAATGTGAGCATTAAAAAAAACCCAAAACTTTTCTTTTAGACGAAATTCTAGAATTTTTGCTGGTTTAACTGTGCCTGTATGTGTTTGTACATGTTTCTTTGTGAGTTCAACTGTATTTTCTTGGTTGGTAAGAGAAGAAAAATAATCCCAAAAGTCTAAGATGCTTTTAAAGCTATAATATGTGGACGGTATAAGTTGTTTATTACTCTTATTTTGGAGTATTAGGAAAAAATTCTTTGAACCTTTAATTCTGTTCCTAAAATAACTTTCTAGACTTCTCAAAATTATATTAACAGAATAGTAAATAGAAAATTCTACTCTTAATGAAGGTGATTTTAAGGAACAGATTAGTCTTTGTTTCCCCAATATTGGTCTGCAAGAAAAGAAACTAATTTTTGCTTCATAAGAGGTTGAAAATGTTTTAATCTCTATGTAAAAAGATAGTCAACTTCTAATGATTGTAATAATGGCAATTCAGAGCTGGGTACAGTGCTTCATGCCTGTAATCCTACCACTTTGGGAGATGAGGTGGGAGGATTATTTGAGGCCAGGAGTTCGAGATTAGCCTGAGCAACATAGCAAGAGCCCATCTCTACAAAAAAGATAAAAAAAATTAGCCAAGCGCAGTGGCATGTGCCTGTAGTCCCAGCTACTTGGGAGGCTGAGGCAGGAGGAATGCTTGAGCCCACAAGTATGAGGTTGCAATGAGCTATGATTGTGCCACTGCAAGAGACCATGTCTCAGGAACAAATAAGAAAAAAAAAAAAATTCAAAATCGTTTTTTAAATGTAGAGACAGTAGAGACATAAATAAAAAACAACAAGAAAACCACATTTAGGATTTGCCTTGTTAGTGCTATGGCAGGCATACTCTTAAGGTGGCTTCCCATGGTGTTTGCCTTGGAGAGTCACAGTGTTGTACAGTTCCCTTCCCTTGAGTATGGACAGGACTTGTGACTGGCTTCTAACTAAGAGAATATGGTGACATTGATAGGATGTCATTCCTATGATTATGCTATATTATACAAGACTCCATGTTGCTAGCAGACTGGCTCTAAAGACTGTCATTCCTATGATTATGCTATATTATACAAGACTCCATGTTGCTAGCAGACTGGCTCTAGAGACTGCTTCCCTTGCTGGCTTTGAAGAAGTAAGCACACGTTAGGAGGCCCACATGGCAAGGAGCTGAGGACAACCTCCAGCCAAAGGCCAGTAAGAAGCCAAGGCTCTGGGTCTTGCAACTGCAAGGAAATGAATTCTGTCAACAACCTGAATGAGCTTGGAAGCAGACCCTTGCCTCCAGATGAGAACTCAGTATTGGCCAAAACCTTAACCATAGCCCTGCAGAGGCCCCAGCTAAGCTGCATGCATTAATTTGTGAGATGATAAATGTATGTTGTTTTAAGTCACTAAATTTGTGGTAATTTGTTATGCAGCAATGAAAACTAATGCAGGTGGGCTCTGTGAATTTTAAAAGTGTATCTTTAATTATGTAATAATTGATGAATTGTATTAATTTCTTATATATTTCATGAAAAGGATTATATAGTATTTAGTAGAAATTTAAGATCTAACATTAAATTAGAAATATTTGTTAAGTGAGAGTAGATTTGTATAAAGTAATACATTCTTATAAAAGGCTAGCAAATGATTTTTTAAAAAACAAATAGAATGTTTAACCTTCAAATGAGATTTTGCTTAAAATGTCGTTACACTGGGATACTACTATGTACTATGTACTTATATATAAGTATTATTAACATTGCTCAAAATATATTACATTCTTCCTCTAGAATACTTTAGAATTAGTTTATTAGTCACCCAAGAAGATCAATCATAATACCAACTAGCCTCTATTATCTTATTTGAAATAAAATTGGTGTTAACCAACTTAATCACCTAAGTGATTCACAAAACTTGTCTTCCAATGACTCTACTATTTAAGAATTAAATCAAATCCAACTCAAGAGACACAGTCTACCATTACTAAGAATACCAAGGCTCTGAGTGTAATTCTAAAAAGAGGAGTTTCTAAAAATATTTTGAACATTACTGGAATAAGAACACAACTTCCTAGTTCCTCAAAAAGTTAAACATAGAATTACCATATGACCAAGCAATTCTACTCCTCGGTATATACCCAAGATAAATGAAAACAAATTCGGTGCACACCAAAATTTGTACATGAATATTTTTAGCAGTATTATTCACAATACCCAAAAGGTAGAAACAACCAATGTCCATCAAGAGATGAATGGATAAACTGTGGTATATACAAATAATGGAACACTATTCAGCTATAAAAAGAAACAAAGTACTGATATATACTATAATTTTGATGAACCATGAAAAACATTGTGCCAAGTGAAAGAAGCCCCCTCCCAAAAAATGAAAAATAAGTAATATAAATTAAAAAAACCAGATCACCATAAGAGATAAAAAAAATGAAAAATAATATAATTAAAAACAACAGATCACCATAACAGATAAAAAAAAAAAAAAGAAAAATAAGTAACATAATTTAAAAAAAAAAAAGGCCGGGCACGGTGGCTCACGCCTGTAATCCTAGCACTCTGAGAAGCTGAGGTGGGCGGATTGCTAGAGGTCAGGAGTTCGAAACCAGCCTGACCAAGAGCGAGACCCCATCTCTAATATAAATAGAAAGAAATTAATTGGCCAACTGATAAATATAGAAAAAATTAGCCGGGCATGGTGGTGTATGCCTGTAGTCCCAGCCACTCAGGAGGCTGGGGCAGTGGGATTACTTGAGCCCATGAGTTTGAGGTTGCTGTGAGCTAGGCTGACACCACGGCAAACGCCTATAATCCTAGCACTCTGGTAAGGCTGAAGTGGGCGGGTGCTCGAGGTCAGGAGTTCGAAACCACCCTGAGCAAGAGCAAGACCCCATCTCTACTATAAATAGAAAGAAACTAATTGGCCAACTAATATATATATAGAAAAAATTAGCTGGGCATGGTGGTGCATGCCTGTGGTCCTGGCTGAGGCAAAGCGGGACTCTGTCTCAAAAAAAAAAAAAGAAGCCAGACCCAAAGGTCACATATTATGTGATGCCTTTTATATGATATATCCAGAATAGGCAACTCCAGAGAGCCAGAAAGCAGATTAGAGGTTACCAGGGAGTGAAGGAAGGGGATAAAGGGAACTGATTACTTAATGGGTACAGGGTGTTTTTATGGGGTGATGAAAAAGTTCTAAAACTACAAAGTCATGGTGGTTGCATAACATTGTGAATACATTAAATACCACTGAAGTGTAATGGTTAATTTTATATGAATTTCACCTTAATTTAAAAAACACCAGAAGACCCAGTTTCCCAAGGAGAATACTATACTTTGGCTTTTATAGTTCTTAACTAGATATATTAATTTCTCCAGTCTGACTGCAAAGGAGCAAAGTATTAAGAGTTCTCAAACTTTAGCATGTATCTGAATCACCAGGAGTGCTTGTTAGAGCATCTGATTTTCTAGATCTTGGGTAGAACCCAAGAATTTCTAAAAAGTTCTCAAGTGATGCCGATGCTACTGGTCTGGGGACACTTTTGAGAACCAGGGGAATAAAAGAAACGGCTGCAATTGGCAAGCAGAGGTTTCAAGTGGAAGGCCTATTTGTGTAGCTGGTTGGAAGATATATGAAATGAGACTACAGTTAGAGTGAGTCTAGTCTAAACTGTAAAGTGTATTGTCACTGGTGTTGCAGAGTTTAGACTGAAGAGGGGAGCACATGGTAAGAATTATATCTGAAAACTATGACATTGGTGTAAAGTGGTGAAAAAGTACAGAAAACAGAGAACCAATTCAGTTGATTAAGAATCTCAAAGTTATGAATACAGATTTAAGACTCTAGAATTGAGGGATGGAAGAGACAATTCAGAGAAGAGACTAAATTGGCTTAACCAGTTTCATATAAAACTTGGCAACTGGGCCAGGCGCGGTGGCTCACGCCTGTCATCCTAGCACTCTCGGAGGCTGAGGCGGGTGGATTGCTCGAGGTTAGGAGTTCGAAACCAGCCTGAGCAAGAGCGAGACCCCCGTCTCTACCATAAATAGAAAGAAATTAATTGACCAACTGATAAATATAGAAAAAATTAGCCAGGCATGGTGGCGCATGCCTGTAGTTCCAGCTACTCAGGAGGCTGAGGCAGTAGGATTGCCTGAGCCCAGGACCTTGAGGTTGCTATGAGCTAGGCTGACGCCAGGGCACTCACTCTAGCCTGGACAACAAAGCAAGACTCTGTCTCAAAAAAAAAAAACAAAAACTCGACAATTGGAACTTTCAGTCCTATCCTTATTATTTCTTGAGATTGGCTATTAATCACTTTGTACTATTTCACTGGTAATATACTCTTAACTTTATGTAATAAATATAATCTTGGTCAAATATTTAGAGTTATTTGCTTCCACTTTGCATGACAGAACATCTCCACAGTAACTAAGCAAGAGAACCAACTTTAAAACCCTACTCTGCTGGCCAGAAAACTAACAGAGGTGGAACTAATTAAACTAATCATAATGGAGTGGCCAAAATGGCCATGCTGTCTGCTCTTTGACACTTGCTGACTGACACTTAAATTTGAGGAACTGGATAGAATATTAACAATGCCTATGGATTATACCATCAGCAGGTCTAAGCATGCAGGCTATTACAACTGTTTTAAAATTTTCTTTTAAGTTTAAAGGAAAGGTAACCTACTATCAGTGACATCAGCTATATACGAGGTCTGTCCAGAAAGTATCCAGGCATTGTTAATATAATGAGAACATATTACATGGCTGGATACTTTCTGGACAGCCCTCATATAACTAACCAATGCATACAAATAAACTGTGCAGATCAGTAAATGCTAACAAGATGCCCAAAATATTCTATGGACTTTTTGCCTCTGGTAAAGGGCCTCTTCCAAGTAATTTAAAAAATTCATGTGTACCCAAACTTATCTTTTACTTTCTATTATTGCCATTAAATGTTTGCTAAACCTTTCAATAGTCATTTTCTAAATGGTTCAAGTAAGAAGGGAGACCAAACAAGATTGTGAGTCATCATGCGCATCCATCATCAGTATTAAAATTCATGACTTAATAGCCGTGGGAATGACATCTTCCTCTATGAAAGAAAAATAGTGTATTATATGCATATGAATAATTCAGTTTCTATCATGTTGCAAGTTTAATGGGAACACTTACTTCTTTGAGAGCAGCTGGGATTTTTTTCTGTTTCCTCCCTGATGGAATACTATGTAAGACTGAAGATAAGGCACTGGAAGGAGATTTGTGATTTCCAGGAGATCCAATCTTAGGGGAGTGCTGGTGATCTAAAACAAATCAGGTACATTTATGTAGCCAGTGGTGAGCACTCTGTAATTCAATTTAATTCAAATCAATAAACGTTGTTGCATAAAATATCAACATGGAAGGACACTCAAGAAACTGATGGCACTGATGGCTCCCGTGAACAGAAGATGGATGGCTGGGAGGTGAATCGGAGGAAGGCTTTCCCTATCTATGATTTTATACTTTTGGGACTTTAAACCAGGTGAAAGGATGACTCTTTGTGCCTTTAAAATTCTGAAACATGTGAATATACTACCAACTTTTAAATTTTTTAAAATAAAAAATCCCTACTGACTTAAAAAAAAAAAACTCTAGCATTGTTTGGTGTCTAGATAATGATCATAATATTACAATGAACAAAATACTAGAAAAGGGGCTATAGGACACAGATGAGGAAGCAATTAATTCTAACTGCAGAGGTCCAGGGAAAGCGGGAAAGAGAATAAGATACTTCAGTTGGCCACTAAGGCATAAGTAGCAATTTTCCAGGTTAATAAAAAGAGGAACAAGAATACTATCCACAGAGAAGTTGGCATGAGCAAAGGCAGAGAGATAGGAAATTAGATTATCTATCTGGAGAATAATGGGGCTGGAAAAAAAAGAGGCTGGTTCTAAGGAACTTGGTTTGTTGTTTATACTTTTTAGGCTGGGGAGTGACATAAGCAGATTAAATATAGAAAAATATATCTGGCAGTAGCAAGGAGGAGGGATTTACAAGCAGGAAAACCTGTTAGGAAATTATTAATAGTCTAGACAAAAGTCTTATTAGGGCTGAGATGGAGAAATCCAGACAAAGACAGATTTGCAGAGCCAAAATTGACAAGATCTACTGACCAAATGGGTGTAGGTGATAAGGGAGGAGGATTAAAAGATGAATTTTGAATTTTTGCAGCTTATACTATACACCTAGAGAACAAAGGGAGAAACATAAAGGAATAGATGGATGGGTCTTCTTGGAAAACGTATATGGGCAATAATAAACTATTAATTTATAAATATATGAATTCTGAAATAGCATGTCATCTAGTTTTATTCACTTAGAAATTCCTCTCTTGCCTCTATTAACTTGTGACAAAAAAAAAAAAAAAAAAGAAATTCCTCTTTGCTAATGAAAAGCTATTCTTCATGGAAATGAAGGACAAAGTTTTTACAATTTAGATCGTATAGGTTTCAGGAATTTAAAAAATCCTTTCCTAAAATATAGACCTGAGCAGTCCTGCTAGCTGCATTTACTTTAACTGTAGAATACTTGCAAATAATAAGTAAATATGAAGTATTGTTTTGTATTTGGTCAAAAAGCTGTACCTTCAGACATACAATAAAATCTCACTAAATCAGTTCAAGTGACTAGAATTAGGATAACAAAGTGCCGCTTAGTATATTTTAGTATACTTCCCTAGAGAATTACTCTACAGATAGATTAAAATGATTTGTAATAAGCATACTATTGTGTGAAACTAGAAACTTCAAAATTACTTGAAAATCAAAGTTACCCTATTAACTATTTTAAGCATTTTACACTGTAATTACATTTTTACAACTGGTTTTCTTAGCAAAACTTTTTTTGCAGATTAAAAATAAATTCTAGTCCAACTTCTCTTGGAATTCCCACAAAATAGGAGTTAAGAAAGCTCAATACAAATTTTGAGACAAGTATCAATAATCATGTTGCAAATGTGCCAAAGATAATTCCTTTAGAAGGTTGTTTGAAAGCATCTGGGGAATAAAGGAATTTTTGGTTAAATCTTTACTTATATATTACCTAATTTTTGCAGTTCTTCGAAACAATGTTCACATACTCTTGCTGGTTGATTTTTCAGGTAATCTAAGCCATACTTATTTGATGAACAAGCTTGGCATACAATCTGATAAAACACATTGGAATTATTTTATTAGAAACACTTTTGTTTCCAAACCATAAAGTATGCTACAATGTATAGTACTGTCCACTTTTCAAAACAGTTTGATAGTCATTGAATCTCACTTCATCTTAATAATAACTCAATGGAGTTCAAGCATGTAATGAACTAACACACAGTATCATATTTGAAAGATGAAGAGGCCACAGATTACTAAGTGCTTACTAGATAAAATAATAAAGGAGTTAATATATCCAAAATGCTTTAGAATAGTACCTGGCATACAATAAATCCTGTTAGCTGTTCTGGTAGGCATCATCGTGGTCAACATAATCATTATCATTGCTATAGCAACAACCACTTCTCTGGTCCTCTACCAAGTGTATACCTCTGTACTAAATGTTTTCTAAACAGGACTTCCTTTAATCTTTAGACTAACTCTCTGATGTCATTGTTACTATCGTGTTTCCCCAAAAATAAGACAGGGTCTCATATTTATTTTTCCTCAAGGAGACACCCTAGGGCCTATTTTCAGGGGATGTGTTATTTTCCCCTCAAAGCCTCAACTTGCAGCATGCACAGGATGGCCAGAGACCTGACAGGGGGAGCCGACCTTGTGGGTGGGGCTGCGCGCACCTTTCCGGTCACCTCTGAGATAGTAGCTGTCTCGATGGGGCAGATGAGAAGGGCTGCTCGTCTTCTTTACTGCTCCGCAACGAAGTGCATGGGCTGTGCACATATGCTGTGCAGCCACGCCCACCATTAGGTCTTATTTTCGGGGTAGGGCTTATATTGCCCAAATGCTTAGAAATCCTGCTAGGGCTTATCTTATGGGTAGGTCTTATTTTCAGGGAAACATGGTATGCTCATTTTACTAATACATCTTGAAGGCTTAGAAATATCACTAGGGATAACTTCAGCTCTGAAAGTTCCCAATTAGCTTAAATGTGAAGGTCTATTTAATTGTGGATTTGTTAGTTGTTGTTTTTGTTTTTGTTTTTTTTTTTTTTTTGAGACAGAGTCTCACTTTGTCTCCCAGCCTAGAGTAATTTTTTTTCTTTATATATTAGTTGGCCAATTAATTTCTTTCTATTTATAGTAGAGACAGGGTCTCGCTCTTGCTCAGGCTGGTTTCGAACTCCTGACCTTGAGCAATCCACCTGCCTCAGCCTCCCAGAGAGCTAGGATTACAGGCGTGAGCCACCGCGCCCGGCTAGTTGTTGTTTTTGAATGAATGTTATCTATTACTGACATTCTAAAGTAACTTTGGGATGGGAGGGGGGAAGTTCCCTAACAAAATTCCCTGCACCCCTAAATATGTAGAGAAAACACCATCCATGTTTTCCACCACCATTCTTTTGTTGTTGTTTTCAACTACTACAGTTTACAACGGGAAAATCACAACGTAGATGGGTGCCATCCTAGCTAACCTTTCCGCAGGCTCGGCAGTGGTGTCGTCTCCAGGTTAGAGTAAATTCACTTGTGCAGATCATACACATTGTGGCTCTGGTATCAGGAATCCAGATGGGAGCCTTTGATCCAAGAGGACTAAGTTCCTCTTTATTTTCTGAGTCTGCCTACGGAAGAAGAACAACTTCTGATTATCTCCATACACGCTACCTGCTATAGAAGTGACCCTGTTTATTTGGTAGTGGCATCCCATGGTTATCACTAAGGATGTGGGATGAAATATGGGCCATTATATCTTTCATGTGCTCAGACTATTTAGATTAGCTACATTGTGAAAATCCTCTAATGCAAAATTAACTTAAAAAGATGCCTGTGGTAGTGGGATGACAGCCAAGTAGTTTCTTCCTTTAAATATTCTGTATTTTCTACAATGAAGTGTTTCTTTTTGAGACAGAGTCTGACTCTGTTGCCCGGGCTAGAGTGCAGTGGCATCAGCCTAGCTCATAGCAACTTCAAACTCATGGGCTCAGGGGATCCTCCTACCTCAGCCTCCCGAGTAGCTGGGACTACAGGCGTGCGTCACTATGCCCAGCTAATTTTTCTATATATTTTTAGTTGGCCAATTAATTTCTTTCTATTTTTAGCAGAGACGGGGTCTCGCTCTTGCTCAGGCTAGTCCCAAACTCCTGAGCTCAAATGATCTGCCCGCCTCGGCCTCCCAGAGTGCTTACGATTAAGCACTCCCATCCTTATGATGAAGTTTTAAAACTAGGAAAATAGGCCAGGCGCGGTGGCTCACCCCTGTAATTCTAGCACTCTGGGAGGCCGAGGTGGGTGGATCGCTCGAGGTCAGGAGTTGAAAACCAGCCTGAGATGCCATCTCTACCAAAAAAATAGAAAGAAATTAATCGACCAACTAAAAGTATATATACAAAAAATTCGCCGGGCATGGTGGCACATGCCTGTAGTCCCAGCTCCTTGGGAGGTTAAGGTGGGAGGATTACTTGAGCCCAGGAGTTTGAGGTTGCTGTGAGCTAGGCTGACGCCATGGCACTCTAACCTAGGCAACAGAGTGACACTCTATCTCCAAAAAAAATAAAGAAATTAATTGGCTAACTAAAATATATATATAGAAAAAATTAGATGGGCATTGTGGCACATGCCTGTATTCCCAGCTACTCAGGAGGCTGAGGCAGAAGAATTGCCTGAGCCCAGGATTTTGAGGTTGCTGTGAGCTAGGCTGACGCCATGGCACTCTAGCTGGGTAACAGAGTAAGACTCTGTCTCAAAAACAAAAGCGAAAAAAAAAAAACTAGGAAAATACACAAATATGCTATATGGTATCACAGTCTTGCAGTTAGACACTAATGGATAAACATTTAGTGCTGAAATTAGACACACACCTTCAATCATTCTCTGACACACATGTTGCTTTTCTAAACCCCTGAGAAATGTATCCAAAAGGTAAAAACTGTTTGAAATGCACTGAAAGAAAAAAAAAGAAGGACAAGACAATACCTCTTCAAGACTCCTACTAGGACAGAAGGTGATTCTTTTCCTGGCATAGTCTTCTATTGATCTGGAAATCGCTTCTAGCCATTCATCCCTTTCTGTGGCAGAACTGTTGGGGGCAAAAGAAGGTTCCATCAACCAGATGTCAGCTTTTCTTTTTTGCCTTTTTCGTACTTCTTTTCCTGCACCCATGGCAACAGATCATACCACCCTCCAACAATACCAGTCAAAAGAAGCATCTCTGACGTTTTATGGGAACAAATAGTCAGAGTAGGCAATAGAGAACCTATGGCACTCTAGCAAATACCATGTATTTTTTCCCCTCAAACGTTCTATTTTATGTTAAATATAATAGCTTTTGAAGTCTCCTAAATTTGGAATTATTTCTGTTGAGTTTAAGGTCTACTCTACTATTATTAATGATTATGATTTTTACATAACCAAGGAGTTTCCTAAGACATACTCCTAGAATTTAAGTCTTCCCAGTAATCAAGTTGCAAATGCCAATTTTTAGCATAAACTACTAAATATCTTTAGAGTATTAAACATTACTGAAAATATCTTAGACGGACAGTGGGGTAAAGAGAACATATTTTCAGTATCTTAAGACAGATGTTGAAGGAGTAGTTAATAAGGGAAATAGCCTGAAGCTGTTGTTAGGGCTCCTCTACCTATTTAGCCCCCCAAGTCTTCTGTGTCTATGCTCAGCTCATCGGGAGATAATCTTTAATTCAATTCTAGGTGGCAATGGGCTGAATAGGGGAAAGCAGGTTCAGAAAAGGGTATTTTTTTTTCCTGGATTTTTACAACCATGCCTCTCCCCAAAACCTCTGTAGTAACTCCAAGTCACTGGCATGAGCACATTTAGGCAACTATGGTTTAAATTTTGTTTTGCATATTCAAAATTGAGAGGCACACTTTAGGCATTCTAAATATATACATATACATATACATGTAGAGAGAGCAAGAAAGGGAAAGAGAGAGAATGAGAGACTTTAACAGTCAATTTAAAACTCCACGATAATAAAATAAGATCCATCATATTGGGATTGTGACTGTGTAAAAAAAAAGGTCTGTATTTTTTAGAGAGGAATACTGAAATATGTAGGAGTAAAATGACCTGATATCTGTAATTTATTTTAAAATATGTTAGAAAGTTATAAAACAGGAAAATTGGTGGCAAAATCTTAATTTTTGCATCTGGGTGATTGAATATGTAGTTCACATTGCCTTATTCACTCTAATTTTAAGTCTACTTGAACTTTTAAACAATATTTCTAAAATAGAAAATACCATCATAAATAATGGTATATGTAGGCAACATGCTGCTATATTTTGAAGAACCTAGGTCATGTTGAGAAGATACTAGGTGGGAAAAAAGAATACTAGCAACTACTTGCTTCCTCTAAAGAATCATTCTCTGGAATGTACCTCCCTATTAAATAGCTTGAGTGGCATTTAGAATATTCATTCCTATGGCTATGAGAAGGTGGAAATCCAGTTTCCAAATAAAATTTAAAAACTGACATGTTTCTCAAATTTCCATTACATACAAAGAACAAAATAAACAACCCCTTTCTCTCTAAACCAAACAAGGCCAGCTTAGTTACCTCTACTGTTCTAGCATTACTGTCAAAACTAGATACCATTTAATAGTTAATGTCAGCCAACTGTGCCAAATGCTTAGCAAATGACACCATGTCTCACCCTCAGAGCTTCCCACAGAATATATACTGGATCATACATGCCCCCATGACAATATCACAGTCTACCACTGCCATTTACAGATAAGGAAACCGAGGATCAGCAATGTTAGATAATTTGCTTTATAGACAACAGGCCACCAAGTGATGAGCTGGTATTAGAGCCAAGTGTAGTTAAGGATTGGACCCTTCACCACCAGGTCACTGCCAGCTTCTGTTCGTGTTCTCTGAAGAACTACACTATAAGAACACATGCTTAGGCTTCCAAGCAAACATTCATAAAATATTACCACCTCCCCATCGCTCCCCTGCTCTTCACTGGAAGAAGTAACAGAAAGCAGAGAGGCAGATGGCAAATTTGAGAATTGCTGTTGGATTCTTCTGGAGCCTTGGAAGCATGTGGAATGTGATTCGACTGTGCAAATCATGTCACATATGCTGTTCTTTCATTTAATCATTCCTGGCTCTCTCTTGTGTGGGGTTCTGCCAAGACAATGTTTACCAGCTCTTGATAACACATTTCTCCCAGACCACACACATTTGCCTGCAGCATCCAGTGGAGACATTCTTGGTCTCCCTTTGCAACATGATTAGCAGAAGAATCAGCATCTTCTTCAGATTGAAAAACAGTTCAGCCAAGTATTCTTTTCTTTGTAGAGTGTGTACATTACCAGAAAGCAAATTTGTGTCAAACAAGAACCATGTTCCCATTGACCGAGATGTATTACCCTGGGGAAAAGCCCTCCCATAGCAGGGATTTCTGACTGGACCTTGCCACACAATTTTCTACTTGTATTACTCCAAGGTTCAAAGGCCACATAACTTCAATTCACATGAGTAACATTCATTGGGAGCCTACTAAGTGCCAGGACTCAAGCCACGAACTGGGCACATAAAATACACGTCACTTTTAAGGGCTCACACCAAACTGAGGTGAAACAATAAATTTACATAGGATATAACAAATGTAAGGTAGACAAATAACACAAAAGTAGCAAAGTACCGAATTTGGACAGCAGGAGGGCTTTTGCAGAGGTGATGACAAAGTTAGGACTTGGAGAATTATAGGAGTTGGGCAGGGCACTCTCTGTCTCTCTGGGTACCCTCAATCGGTCCCCTAAGCTTAGGCCATCTCTAAACTGACCACGCCCAAACATACAGCTCTGGCCCAGGCTTCCTTCTGACATCCAGATCCTTACAGAAAGGGCTCCTTTTTTTTTTTTTTTTTTTTTTTTTTGAGAGAGTCTCACTCTGCTGCCTGGGCCACACTGCCATGGCACCAGCCTAGCTCACAGTGACCTCAAACTCCTGGGCTAAAGCGATCCTCCTGCCTCAGCCTCCCGAGTAGCTGGGACTATAGGCATGTGCCACCATGCCCGGCTAATCTTTTCTATATATATTAGCTGGCCAATTAATTTCTTTCTATTTTTAGTAGAGATGGGGTCTCACTCTTGCTCAGGCTGGTTTCAAACTCCTGACTTTGAGCGATCTGCCCTCCTCAGCCTCCCAGTGCTAGGATTACAGGCGTGAGCCACCACTCCCGGCCAAAACTACTCCTTGATGGCTGCATTTGGATGTTAAACAGGCACGCCAGCATGCACGTCTGAAACAAACCTGATTTCCCCCCTAGAGCCGCTCTACTCCCAGCACTCCCTACCACAGTGCATGGCCCCACAACCCAGAACACCGTGCAAGCTGAAAGACTCGCACCAAAGAACCTTTCCCTCTCATCCCCTACCTCTAATTAGCCACCTCCCTCAGTCTAACTCCCAAGCCGTAGTCCACATAGCAGCCATATCTTTAAAAATGCCTATCCGATCACAACACACATCACTCCCTTGTATAAATAAACCTTTCAGTGGCTTCTCACAGCTCTTAGGCTAAAGACCAAAATCCACAAGATGGTTCTGCATAATCTATAACACCTGTCTCTTAGGCTTATTTTGGGTCTATCTTTTGCTCACTCATGAGCTCATGCCACACTGGCCTTCCAGTTCTTGAAGGTGCCGTGCCCCTTTCCACCTCATGACCTTCGTACACATCGCTCCTGATGCCCAGGAGGTTCTTCTTTCCTCTTTGGCTATCCAACTGCTACTTATCCTTCATGAGTCATATCCACAGCAGGTCTTTAGGGAAGCTTTCCCCGACTGCCCTCTCCGCCCTCCCAGTCTAGCTCAAGGTCCTTTGCTTTACAGCCTCATAGCACCTGGTGCTTTTCCTGTGTCTCAATCACAATAATACCTACTCGTGTTAATGTTTGCTGAGTATATGTCTTCCCCAGTGGAATGTAAGCTCAGTGAGGGAAGGACCCTTTTAATGCTCCACTGCGTGCCAATGCCTAGCACAATGCCTGGCCCAAGTAGAGGCTGCCTGTTCCATAATGAATGGAGGACGAATTCCAGGTGGAGGTATTGCCTGTGCAAGGTAGAAGGATGAGGAGTAGGCTGGCACACATGGAGAGTCACAGGCAGACCCATGCTGATGGGACATGCAATGTGTTAGGGGCATGGGGAGAGTGAATGGAGACAAGGCCAGTGAAGCAGAGAGAAACCAGATTACAAGAGGCCTTCTTACCACCTCCCATTTTTTCTTTTTAAAATTTTATATCTCGGCCAGGCGCGGTGGCTCACACCTGTAATCCTAGCACTCTGGGAGGCTGAGGCGAGCGGATCGCTAGAGGTCAGGAGTTTGAAACCAGCCTGAGCAAGAGTGAGACCCCGTCTCTACTAAAAAATAGAAACAAATTAATTGGCCAATTAAAAATATATAGAAAAAATTAGCCGGGCATGGTGGTGCATGCCTGTAGTCCCAGCTACTTGGGAGGCTGAAGCAGAAGGATCGCTTGAGTCCAGGAGTTTGAGGTTGCTGTGAGCTAGGCTGACATCACGGTACTCTAGCTAGGGCAACAGAATGAGACTCTGTCTAAAAAAAAAAAAAAAAAAATTTATTTCTCTTTTAATCTTGCATTCAAAACCTACCCCCTTTTAACCTATGACACAGGACCTGCCTCACTGTGGTAGAGGAATTTAGGACACCATGGCACAGTGGTGGCATTCAATATGTGTTACCTCCCTCTCCCTCATACCAGCTTAATCTGCCCTTGGAAATTTCTTTTTCCTTTATTGAGAACTTTCTATGATTTCTCCTGTATATCCCCACATTCAGCCTATCAGTGATCCTATGGCTGTGCCTGATTCTGATCTCTTCTCACCACTCTAATCCAAGACACCATCATCCACAGCCTTCAACCTGGTCTTCCAACTTCTGCTCTAGTGCCCCGATGGTCTGTCTTCTATAAAGCAGCCAGTGTGATATTTTACAACTATAAATTAGACCCTATCAATTCTCAGCTTAAAACCCTTGGATGGTTTCCTATCACACTAAAAATCCAATGACCTCACTTTGGTCTAGGAGACCTCATAGGACCTGCCCTGACCCCCACCTTACCTCACATTTAACCTTACCTGGGACACTAGGCTCCACCTGCATTGGACTTCTTGCTGTTTCTTTAACATACTCAACTCTTTCCTGCTTCCTTCCTATGTTTTTGCTGTTCCCTCTACCCAGAATTTGCTTCTTTCTGGTGTCTGCTTCTTACAGAGAACTTTTCTGATCTCCTCATTAAAATGGCCTACTCCATCACTCTTTGTGCCTTCAGTCTACTTTATTTTTCTTCATAACATGTAATATCTCAAATTATATTTTACCTGATTATTGTATATCCCCGCCCCCCCTTCAGAACAAAGCCACTTAAGGTGAGGGACTTTGTACCCCCAGCTCCTGGCACAGGATAGGTGCTAAATAAAAATTTGTTGAATGGATGATAGACATTAGAGAGTCCCCTTCCCCAGCTGCTCCCCATGTGCCAGTCTCCAAACAGTGAATCTCTCCCATCACTAAAGTTACTCTGACTCAGCAGTGATTGCCGACAGTAATCAGTGCCTATATCACGGAGCACCAGACTATTATCAAAAAGACAAGCAGCAGAAGGGATCCATATATCATATTCAAAGAACAATATATAACATGGTTTATATATGACCTTCCTGCCCACCCCTGAAATAAGGCACAACTATTCTCCACACAAGTGATTCTTATGAAAGCTGGTATTTATGAAAGCCAATTCTGCACCTCTGTTATTGCATGAGTCTCATTTATGAAAGGCACACATTCTGCTTTTCTAGCATCTTCTTGGCAAGACTGTGATTTTTCATCCTGTTCTAAAGTATCTTAGCATCTTGTGAAAAAAATACTTCCTTGAGATGGAGCTGTGAGAGAGAAGTCAGTGTAAAACCGGCAGAGAAAGGACTGTTTTTCCCTCTGTGGCTGACACAGAGCAGAGCACATGTGGGGCCGTGACCAAACAGGGAAAAACAACGGAAGGCTAACTCCAGGGATAGCAAGTTGCATTTAAGGATAAATGAGGCTGGGTGCAGTGGCTCGTGCCTGTAACCCTAGCACTCTGGGAGGCTGAGGTGGGAGGATTGCTTGAGCCTAGGAGTTTGAGGTTGCTGTGAGCTACGATGACACCACTGCACTCTACCTAGAGTGACAGAGGGAGACTCTGTCTCAAAATAAAAAAAAAAAGTTTACAAATTAAAAAAAAAGAAAAAAACAAAGGAGAAATTAGAATAGTAAAGACTAAGTCATTATCAGTTAGAAATTCTCTTTCAAAGTTACACCGTTATAAACTTCTATCAGAGCTGTTCAATACACTTATCTGGTACTGATCTGGATAAACATGAACATCCAGGTATTTATATGACAGGCAACCAAAGAAAAAAAGATTTACTATAATTTCTCAAATTATTTAATTTTTATTAATAAACTAGAATATTATTCTTACCAAAGCCCATTTTTACATATAAGTATAATTGAAAACTTGACCTTTCTATAGGCATTTTCTCTTTGGACCTTTGAAAATAACTTTCTTGATTTAAAGAACCAAGCTCAAGTACTCGCCAGAAGCTTGATATACATGGACTTGATATTCTTCGAACTTTTGTTCAAAGTCCCCTATCCCTCAAAGAAAAAAAAAAAGTCACAGTGCCAAGTGATCAAGAGTTTACTTTCATTCATCAAACACTGATATCTGGGGGATGCTTCAAGTACCCCAGGAATTTTGCTTGCCCTGACGGGTAGAGTTGGGAAGCATTTGACAAACCCTGAACACAGGCATTTATTTGTCTTCCGTCATCCAGTATGTCAGGTAGCAGTGGCCATTTCATTTCAGAGGAGTAACATATCCCAAAGAGGATTTCTATGGGGAAGTCAGACATTTGGTCTGAGCCTTTGACATTCACGGACATAGGTAGAATTATAGTGGCTGTCAGATTCAGCTACGTTCAAATTACAGCTCCACTGCTTACTACCTGTGTAACTTTAGATGTGCTGTTTAACTAACCTCTATGAACCTCTCCATTTTTCTTACCCAGAAGATAAAGATAATACCCAACCCACAAGTTATCATGGAACTTAAAAAAGAAAATAAATATAAAACACTGAGTACTATGCCCAATGCAGAGGAATAAATGATTCCAACTACTACTCTGCTACTAAGATCTTAGTTGATTTTTAGTGATATGGACCCAGCTAGAAGCAGACTGCCTGGGTTCAAATCCTGGCTCTGCTATTTAATATTAGGTCACTTTTTTCACCATAAAATGGGTATAATAATAGTAACTTGCCTTAGAAGGTTGCTGCAAAGATTTAATGAATTAATATACATAAAGTCTTTAGGATAATATCTGGCACACAGCAAGTATTATAACACTTTGGTACTATTTTTTATTATATCAAAGGTTAAGTTTGAGAAGAGCCACACAGACTCACTATCTATATCCTGCAGAGGAACATACTATCACTATTGGTGTCTCCCCCTTCACCAGTCAATTCCTCCCAAATATCCACTTCTGACACTCAGCCAATAATTCAATAATGTATATGTATGAGTCATACAGCTTTAGGTTTCCCTGGCGCTTGAATTACATTATGGTAATATATTCTGATTTATACGAAAGTCACTGCAGGTTCCTGTCTGAGGCAAGGTGGTATCATAAATAACAATGGATAGGCCAGGCACGGTGGCTCACACCTGTAGTCCCAGCTACTCGGGAGGCTGAGGTAGGAGGATGGCTTGAGCCCAGGAATTTGAGGTTGTTGTGAGCTACGCTGATGCCATGGCGCTCTAGCCTGGGCAACCAAGCAAGACTCTGTCTCAAGAAAAGAAAAGAAAAAAAAAACAAAAAAACCCAAAACCAAAAAACAATGGATTTAAAAACAAAAGACTTAATTTTAATTTCTATCCTGGCTTTGCCAGCTATGCATTTTTAAGAGAGCAACCCAATTTTTCTGCAACTTAGTTTCCTCATTTTTAGTATGAGATGATACCTACCTCAAAGGTTTGTTACAACCTTTAAATGAGCTGTGAAAACTTCCATGTAAACTACAAAGCGCTAGTTGTTTTTTTAAAACAATTTGAAATATTCACTTAAAAAAATGATCAGCAAAGCACTTTCACCATTACTATTCTATTCAGAGGAACATTTTTACCTTTGTGCTGCCAGTACCCTATTGGTAAACCCAGAGCCACCTGCATGGTATTGGAAAAGAAAAGGAGGAAGAAACACAAAGTCTAATAGTTAACCTACATGTAAAAAGTGCTGGCGATATCTGATCCTGTTATACTGACAAAAATTCATCTACACAAATCTTTAAAAGTTTACCTGGCTGAGAGAATGAAGGAACGCTCTACACTTTCAATCTTTAATTCATTCTGATATGCTTCTTGGGTGGGTTTTCTAACCTGGAAGAAAGCATAACAGTTTGAGCAAACGTATCCTATGGAAAATCCCAACTCTGAACTGCAGTTGAATTTGCTGAATGCCCCCAACAGCTGACATCTACAACCAACCTTCCCGTCCAGCTTTATCTGCCGCTGTTCTCCATTGCCTACTCTATGCTCCAGGGGAACTTAAATATCCACAAACAGGCCCAGCTTTCCACCTCCAGGCTTTTACTCACGATATTTCCTCTACCCGGAATGCCTTTGCCTAAAATGTCAGCATAGCCAAATGCCATGTATAATTTAAGGCCCACTGGCTCTTCCTCTAAAAGTCTAAAACGGCCTCCAGGATTCTCCCTCTTTCCTTGCTGCCTATCAGAAGCTGCAAGCCAATCCCTCAACCATGCCTACCAAAAGCTGCAAGTTCTTTATTTTCTGAACTCCCAAACACTTTAACTGTGCCTTTTTGGTGATATTTATTACTGTCTACTTTATAGGTATTTATGTGTAGTGTGTTATCTTCCCAACTATCTGCTAAGTCCTGTGGTGGGGGTGTAGGGTGGGGGGGGGATAGGTATTGAGGTGGGGCAGAGAGAAAAAGAATCAACCCATCTTCCTATTTTCCACCAAGGCTATTATCTTGTTTTATTGATAATTGTTCTCAATAAATATCTTATGAATAAATTAATGCATGAGTGAACAAATGACTACATGAAAGCATGGCAGTAACATGGAGAGAGAAAAGTTAAAGATGTGAGAAAGATGATTATCTTAGGGATTTTTCTCAAATACATAACTATATATATTTGAATTAAAAAAAAACTTCTAACAGATACACAGACCTTCATTCCAGCCAATGAGAGCATGTTGTTCAGTTTATACATCCCAGACTGCACCGGTGTTGTATACAGCAAGGCGTCATTAAACTGAAAGTAGAAACATTTCACAGTAAGTAAAGAAACAAAGTAAAAAAACGAATTTCAGCTACAAAGGTATTGATAAGATACAGAAATTAAGGAAAAATACTATTTCTTCACTAACAGCTCTCTGAATAAGATACTTATATCCAGATATACACACTATAACCACCTAGAATGTTATATTAGAATATTATTAAAAAGGCAATTTCTGGAAAATGTGCTTCCTTTCTAAGTTCTGTATCAGATTTAATGTTTTGTTAATTCTAAATCCCATTAAGGTATTACAGTCTGCCTAAATAAATGATTAAAACAATTCTTACAAGTTAGGAATGAAATAAACTACATTCCAAAAGGAAATAATCTTCTGATTATGCATCATAACAGACTTGAAATATGCAATACAGCCAAACATGCCACTAAAACAGATTTTGAATATGTTAAGCTTATCTGCTATGGATAAATGTCTCCTTTCATTAAACAATTATCCCTGCTTTGAACACATCAGAACTTCCTCTTACCAGGAAAAACATTCGGGGCTGCATTACTTTCCGAGATAACTTCATCAGAGTTCCTTCTTTGAGAAAAACCTATTTATCCAAACAAACATCTATTTAGTCCTACCATCATAACACAACCACTACGCATATAAGCTCTTTTTTTTTTTTTTTTTTGAGACAGAGTCTCACTTTGTTGCCCAGGCTAGAGTTAGTGCTGTGGCACCAGCCTAGCTCACAGCAACCTCAATCTCCTGGGCTTAAGCAATCCTTCTGCCTCAGCCTCCTGAGTAGCTGGGACTACATCCAGGCATGTGCCACCATGCCCGGCTAATTTTTTGTATATATATATTTTTAGTTGGTCAATTAATTTCTTTCTATTTTAAGTAGAGACGAGGTCTCTCTCAGGCTGGTTATGAACTCCTGACCTTGAGCAATCTGCCCGCCTCGGCCTCCCAGAGTGCTAGGATTACAGGCGTGGGCCACCACACCTGGCCCACATATAAGCTCTTTATCAACTTTCTTTCCTCAGAAACTTTTTTGTGTAGGGCCATGGAGACATAATTTCCTTGTGACTTTTTACAGTCATGGTTAATTTTAAATCCTATAAGTCATTTAGGAATTGGACGAGCAAGCAGAGTTACATAAATCCAATATTGGCCCCAGGGATACTGTGTGGAGAGATGTGTAATTGACCAAGTGCACACTTGATCCTGAAGCACATCCAACATCCTGACAACTGCATTTTGCAATTTTCCTGAATTCATTCCCTAGGCCGCTTTTGTGCTTTATGAAGAGCATCAAAATACCAATTTTCTCCTTCCCTTCATAATCCTCTCGTCTATTAAAGATTTTAAATGAAATTGTCTTCAAAGCCGTGTGAGCCCAGCTGGTATTACATACTAAAATGATCCCATTAAATCAGATACTCTGTGGTGTCCCTTGCCATTCTCCTAATTGAATTGGACTTATATCATGAATGGATTTACTCCTAATTAAATTGTCACAGTGACTTATATCATGAAAGCTTTGAATGGATAGAGTGACTGAGTTTGGATCAATGAGAGTGACGATAACCTATTTTCATAACTGAAATGAAAAACAGCTACAAATGGTGCCTAAATGCATTGTATTAAATTTGCAAAAGGCAGTCTAAAACACTCACCCGTCCAGGCTGCACTATTTCATGGTGTCCACTTAAGCTGTACTGAATTTGCATAAGTTTCTGAAAGTTGTCCTACAGAAAAACAATGTAGAGCATATGAAGGCCCAGGCTTTCAAGTTCAAGAGTACATCAATCACTGATATCAAGATACTTACTCCTTGCTTCATGGTGTCATTGGCATGGTTGGCTACCTCTATGACAACAGCAAGCGCATCTAAAATGTGTAGGAACAGAAGGTGCATTTGGTCAATTCCAGTGAGACAAATGGTTTGCAGCATTTAGCAATTCCAGGTGACAAATTAGCTAGTTCAAAGCAACCAACCTCAGGAAGAGCTCACTATATGATGAGTACGCAGAAACATGAGGTTTGAAGAAGGCAAAATCAAGGAAAAACAGGGAAAAACAATACTTATGAAAAATGAACCAAAAAAAAAATATTATAGACAATGTCAACCAAAGCGTGAATCAGGGTTGTTTTGTGCTGGGATCTCATTGTCCTGTTACAGTTTACCAGGATAAGGATAAGATTTCACCTGGAAGTGAAGGACTATCCCAATGTAAACTATATCAGGAGAGAATGATTGTGAGGGAAAAGGATCCTGATATAGGAAACAAGAACTATAAGAAATGACCATTTAAGAGGGGCGCACTCTGGGAGGCCGAGGCCAGCGGATTGCTCGAGGTCAGGAGTTCGAAACCAGCCTGAGTAACAGCGAGACCCCATCTCTATTATAAATAGAAAGAAATTAATTGGCCAACTAATATATATAGAAAAAATTAGCTGGGCATGGTGACGCATGCCTGTAGTCCCAGCTACTCTAGAGGCTGAGGCAGGAGGATTGCTTGTGCCCAGGAGTTTGAGGTTGCTGTGAGCTCTGCTGCCAGGATGACAAACTGAGTCTCTCAACGAAAAAAAAAAAAAAAAGTTAAAAAACAAAAAAATAATAAAAGAAAAGAGGGGCAGGGCTCGGCCTCCTTCTCTTAGTCTAATTCCAGGAAGTGTGAATTAGAAATGGGAGAAATGCCACATGGAGGCATACTAGACATTAGGAAATTATGTGTGTCATTTTGTGAGCTTGGTTATTTAGCTTCATGGGACTATCTGTGTTTTAGTCTTTTTATTAACCCTTTGCCTTTAGCAAAATGTTTTTGAATGCTCTAGCCTGGGCATCTCTGTAACTACATATAAAGGAAAAAGTCCGCATTTTGTCTGCTTTAGGGCTACAGTTATTCTCAACCCCAAGCAGTAGTGCTCCCCTAGGGACACGTGTAAAGACAATTTTTGGTTCTCAAAATGACTGGGAAGACCAATTGGCCTTTAGTGGGCAGGAGGCAGGTATGCTAATCACCATGCAATGCTCATTAGAAACCCACACAAAGAAGATTATCCTGTACAATCTGAGAGTAGCATGCTCATAGGAAGAAACTGGTACAGTCTTAAAGAGTGAAGCATGCCCCCCGCCCCCCAGGCTATTGTGGCAGTGACAGTGGTCACTGATGAAAGGACTATTAAAAAACAAAAGATCAGTGTCTGAAAAGGGGTTGAGATATTTTGGTCTGACTACTGTAACCTACCAAGAGATTCTCTTTCTGGTACAAACTGTGGAGGTTTCTGTAATTTTTAAGAGTGTGTTATTATTACTATTATAAAGGAAAGCAGTATTTCCTTACATAGAGACCCCAACTATATATGAGAATTCACTGCACCTGATCATCTCTTCACAGCAAATATTCAAGAATTACCTTGGACACATTCCTTGCTTCCTGGCCTGCTAGAATTCCCAGTGGGCAGGGGAGATAAGCCTTAGGATTTAATGAACGGACGAATGACAAAGCTGCTATTTGGTCACCTGGCCTTGAAGCTGAGTTCTCCAATTCAGCCAGCAAATCTACTTTCCCCATTGCATCTCTTTAAGAGGCCCCATGACCCTATTCCTTTAACTCTTCTGCTTACCTTTCAAAGGTATATTCTCTCACTTTCTCTCACCCTAGAGTGGGGTGGTCTCATCTGTAGCTGCTCGCCATGTGATTGGCCACTGGCCCTCACTATTCATTGTTTATTCTAATCTGTGTCTTTGCTAAATTATGTAGTTTCCTTTAAATAATCTCCTTGATCTCTGGCCTCCTATTTGTTTTATCTGTAAAATGGAGCTAATAACTCACTTTCCTTGAAGGCAGGAGCCCGGGACCCCAGATAGATGTTTTCTTTCTATTTGCTAAATTCTGTATATAATTTTTATCCTCATGAGACGGGCTCTGGTCTGGAATGCCTACTCTTGCTCTTGCCCACCCTCTCCAGTCTTACTTTTCTCCGGCAAAGCTTCTCTGCCCCTTCAATCTCTAAACTTTCTTCCTGTTCAGAATGATTCTAATGAGCAGTGCAGCCTTACTTTGAAGCCATCTGCTTTGTTCTTTACTTGATGGATATTATAAACTTTTTCACTGAGTAGAGTACATGTTCACTGAAGAAAAGAAACATATATCCCCCACCACAATCTTTTCCTTTAATAAAGCATCTTTAAAAGCATAACACTTGCAAATAAAAGATGTTAGAGAAGGGGAATTAAATGATTAAGAGAATGAATAAGAATCTCTACAAAATGGGTTAAAAACTTGTTCAACTTTTTGCTCTGAAATTGTAAAGGACGCACAAGCATGTAATCAAAATTCATTAAATGAATGGGTGGACATGGACTTGTTTTATGTGTTTCCACAGATTAGAACCAGGGGTATACCTATGACATTTGAATGAAGTAGCTTGGGGATAAACAGAAAGAAACACCTGAACAGACTTAATCTGTGTGTGTGAGAGAGACATAGATAATGAGAGACATAGATAGAGAGAAACACATAGAAACTCCAATGGCCCCACGAATATCAAAAGAGTCCCTTGTATAATAATGGACTGTTCCCCTTAGGTACTAGGAGGGTGGAAGGGTGGTAAGGCCAACGCCTAATGTTAAACAGTCCCAGAATAATATACTTTATTAGACCTTGTCCCTGATTTGTAGTTTAGTCACTTCAAGGACTCATGATTTGAAAGCTTAAAAGGACCTTGAAGATCACCTGGTTCAGTCTCCGTTACAAGACAGAGAAAGGGCTATCTAGAGACATCAAACATGCCACAGGTAGAGCGTGACCAAGCACAGGAGGGCAAAGCTCCCCGACCCTCGGCCATGCCCAGTCCACGCTCACAGGAGGCTGGCTCTCATGAAGGCTCGCTGTGTGCCTCTTTTGTTCCTTTATCTCACCTGCCTCCAGCACCACTTTACTACTTTATCTGGTTCTATTTTAAATCTGTCCAAAATAGAGTTTTAAAAAAGGCTTCAAGTCTTATGAGTACAGTTTTGTATATGGGTTTTGTGATCAGTATGTTTTTACTTTCTAGATCTAAATAAACATAATATAAAAACCTCTGTAACATGAGAACACAAAAGTTATTTACCTTGAGTGTCTCTGTAATCTCCAGCATCTTCTTTGAGATTCTTCAAATAATCTAGAAAAGAAAAAAAAAATTATAGTATTTAAGCACAATAAAGTAATGAGCCTAAAACACTTATCTTTCCTTTTGAATACTTGTCAGTCTTGTTGGTTAATACATATGTTAGTTAAATTGTACTAATTTTCTAAAAATGTAAAAGAATAAAGCTCTGAGACCAATCTGAAATCAGGATGTAGAATCAGAGCTGGAAAGAGCCTCAGAGATAACACTGGTTATTTTAGAGATGAGGAATCAGATTACTGAGCAAAGAGTCTCACCCAAGTCAAACGACCTCTCTGTGGCAGAGCCAACATGAGAACCCAGGTCTCCTGATGCCAGTTCACCTCCTTCACCCCAACACATAGGAACTACCTTAATGTTGAAGTCCAATGTATGTCTAGTATAAAATTCTAAGGCATTAATAAATTCAGGCGGGCGAGGTGGCTCACGCCTGTAATCCTAGCACTCTGGGAGGCCGAGGCGGATGGATTACTCAAGGTCAAGAGTTCAAAGCCAGCCTGAGCAAGAGCGAGACCCCATCTCTACTAAAAAATAGAAAGAAATTAATTGGTCAATTAAAAATATATAGAAAAAATTAGCCAGGCATGGTGGCACATGCCTGTAGTCCCAGCTACTAGGGAGGCTGAGGCAGGAGGATCGCCTGAGCCCAGGAGTTTGAGGTTGCTGTGAGCTAGGCTGACGCCATGGCACTCTAGCCCAGGCAACAGAGCGAGACTCTGTCTCAAAAATAAATAAATAAATTCAATGCCTAAAGTACTCCTGCATTTGTCAATCTAAGAGTCTAATAATGCCCAGGATGCCAAAGAAATTCAATACACCTATCTAAACCAGTGGTTTCAAATAGGGATGAATTTGCCTACATTTGGCAATGACTGGAGACAGTTGTGTTCATCACAATGCAGTATCACCCTATAATACAGCCCCGCAACAAAGAATTATCTGACCTAAAATGTCAATAGGACTGAGACTGAGATGAAGATGGTCTATAAATAAGCAATGTGCTCTATAGTAGTTCTTAAAAACAGAAAAAACCTGAGGCAGTAGGTTTTATATAACAAATCTTTAATACCAAGGAATGTCATAGGATTAAGGCAACACTTCCTTCTTTGCTGAGAAATGTTGGGTGGTTTCCCATTGCCTACCAAATTAATACAAATTCCTTTCCATGGAATTTAAAGTCCCCCACTAGATGGTCTCCATTGACTTTTCTGACTTTCTCTTTTGCTACCACCTAATACAGGCCCTATGTGCTTACCTGAATTTGACTCTGCTCAATTCCTTAAACACTTCCCATGTGTTCCCTGGCTCCGTACCTTTTTGTTTCTAATGCTCCCTTCTGAATCCTTTTCTCTGTCTCTGCATATACAAATTCTACTCCCATTCTTCTAGGTTCATCTCAAATTCTTCCTCTCCTACAAAACATTCCTTTTGAAAGAATCATTTTTCCCTTTGAATAATTCATGACATGGCAGACTCACTTCATCCCTTCTATCACTTTCTTTTCCATTAGACTCAAAGCTCCTTGTGGGCAGGACATCTGATTCATTTTCCCCCTCGCATAGTACTTAGCAAGGGGCTTTGCACACAGGGGACAGTAAAGTCTTAATAAATAAAAAGAATACATTATTTTGCTAGACAGGATTGTATTTTAGTGAAGGTGCAAGGCAATAAAGGCTGAAATGCCAGTGGGAATGGAGAAAATGGAAGGAGGGAAAGGTGTGTTCAGAGACTGAATGTATTTTTATCAGACCCAATCTCCAGTTGGGAATATCATGGAACAGATATACATTCATCTCATGGATGAATGGAGTTATGCTCAAATGTACAAAGGGAAACTTGCATGTCAGTGCCAGCTTTTGAAACACAACAGATAACACAAACAGACAGGCCCAATTGCTGAAACTTCAGATGTCTCTGAGACAGTGATCCCACAGCTTGTGTGAGTCTAGACATGTATATTATAAATATCCAGCACTGGCAATAAGCCATAGTGAGATGCCATGTGTGGCCACATCAAGCTTCCTTGTGCCACGGCATAGCTTCTATTTTGTGAGAGATTATCACCAGCAATTTAGACCTTAAATAATCTGAACTTACAGGTTGCAGGACTTGCTTCTGATAAAACATATATGAAAACCACAAAAATTAAACAAAATACACTGATTACACATTATACCTAGCCTCACTCAGAGATGGAAAATAAACTTATTCTTCTCATACTGACTGCACTCCGAATGCATTCGATATATAACCCACGTTTGGTGAATGCAAATGTCCAATATTTCTATGGCTGACAGTGACGGGGTTGGGGAGATAAACTTACCCTTCTTATTAAATGTTCTCAATGCCCAAGTGTGTTAACTAAAAGTAATTTCCTTTCATCCTTTAGTTAGCTGAAGAGTATGGAAAGGAAAGCAGATGCACCTAAATACTAGATTTACGGCCAGTTCTTATTTTGTCTTAAATTTCTCTTCTTTAATATAAGAGGATATCCATGAACACTGAGACACTCACTTTTCAAGCGAAAAGAGCTCACTGGAAGATGTCCGTATTAGGAAATCCTGACCTCAGAATCACTGTGCTGTGCCTGATAAGTTTCTGAGTTGCATTTTCTTTGCTAGTACTCAAACTTGGCTGCTGGCCTGCCAACCTAAAACTTTAGGAACATAGTTTAAATACCCTTAGAACAGAAAACCCACCACTAACATATTGCAACATCAACATCATGTTATTAATTGAGGAAGTGACAGAGTTAGGTTTACCCTCCTTGACACATTTTAAAAAACATCTTAATGATCTTCAAAATTCAACTCTCCAACTTATCTATCCATCCATCCATGATTTCAGGACATTTTGTTACAGCATATCTTTTTGAGAACTTTTACCTTTTCAAAGAAGGCAGGACCCTTAAACAGTTATGAATCACCAAGTGCCTTAAGTGCAGCATGAGAACATGACTGATCACTCTCTGAGTCAGACGGGAGGAACACTGAAACCACTAGCTGCACTAGTGACTGTTATGGCCAAGGTGAAACCCAGGAAAGGAGACCAGACAGACAAGCCTATGTTGGTCATAAGGAACTATTTATTACCTATTATTTAGGACCTAGTAATCTGCAGAAGCTTGCAAAATAACAATGAGGAGAGCAGTTATTTCAGTTTGCCATGTTAAACTAGTAGTATTCTATAACTTTCCTGCTCCTGCCAAAACAAATTAAGCATTGTTCAAGACTTCACCAATAAAAATGCCTCAAACACCACTGAGGTTATTTTTATCAAAGAAAAAAACCCAAAAGGTGCAGTGTGTATGGGTACCACAAAACGCCTATCCTCTCTGGCCACCAGGTGGCATCATTGATTAATATAATAAAAGTTAATTACCTTCTGATCACCACCCCCCAACATTAGCAGCACAAGATTAACTGAAACACATCATGTACAAACAACCTCTAGGGATAAGCAAGTTAACTTTTTTTCTCATTTATAAGACCCAGGATGAAAAGATGTGGACCTAACACATACTATGTCTTGTTAGAGGCTCCTAGTGAGCCTTGCCACTCCTTGATTACCTAAATCAATAAATAGCCAACTTAAAGCAGAAATGATGAACATTTACTAAAATTTAGTCATCTTTGGGAATCTGGGACTTTTTTCATTCAACGCCCAGTCAGATTCCAGGACTGTGTGCTGAGGAATGGTTGGCAGCCAAACACAGAGGAAATGAGCATATAGGGGGGATAACATTCCAAAGGCAAGTGTTTTGAATTTGAAGACATGTCTTGCTTTGTATTATTCAGTTTCTTCTCTCCTCCATAAATATGTACAGAGATCAACAACAGACACAGAATCATGGGATCTAGAGAAAAATAAGTCTCGCTTTTTTTGAGCCAGAGCAAGATCCCATCTCTACAAAAAATAGAAAAATTCACCAGGTGTGGTGATGGGTGTGGTGGCGCATGCCTGTAGTTCCAGATATTCAGGAGGCTGAGGCAGGAGGATCGACTGAGCTCCAGGAGAATGAGGTTATAGTGAACTATCATGACACCACTGCACTCTAGCCTGGGTGACAAAAAGAGACAGACTCTGTCTCAAAAATAAATAAATAAATTGGAACTAACTAATGAGCACACATGTGCATAGAGGAAGTAAATCTCAAAGGAAATCAAGTGTGTGTGTGTGTGGGGTGTTCATGGCTTGCAAAGCAAATACCTTTCTGTGAGTTAGAAAAGGCTCCCTCTCTTGGGGCACAAAATATGGTGAGCAGAGGGCAGTCTGTTCTTGGACCTCAGTCAGGCACCCTTGTGCAGGAATTATTTGAGGAAGCTCTGTCTATCCACGACTCCGATAACCCTGGTCGTGAGGTGGCATTTGCAAAGGACTCACAAACCAAGCCGAGTCATAAGGCACAATGGACAGAATCTGTCCTAGGTTCCTTTTCAGCAGGATAGACTAGCTAGGCATATCCAGAATGCCCGCAGGAGAATCAACTAGGGGGAAGTCTCTCAACAAAAGTAAACATTCATTATTTTGACTTGTCTGAGACTGCTTTTCTTAGTGGATACATTTTCTAATCCTTCAGGCTGCCAGTTTATCAAGTAAGAATCTTAAGCACACAGAGATGGCCTTGGCACATTCAAGCCACACTTAAAGAAGCTCTTACCCATATTTGGTCTGTATCACCCTGACTATCAACAAAGAGCAAATTTAGATTTAGGAAGATAAGCGTATTTCATTACCCAGCAGCCGCATGAAGAATAAAGCAAATATAAGCGTGAAAGTAAGTTCAACTAAATTTTAGTGTTTTCTCCAACTGGAACGGTTCCTGAGCCCATGATTCTGACAAAAAACTGTGAGAGAAACTCTTTAGCAACAGATTCTGCTTGTTATATCTTTGCCAAGACAAGTCCTAGCAATAGAGGCATTTGGCTACTTGCAGGGAATCTGGGTCAAATCTGCCTTAGAATTGAAAAAAGAATGGCTTTGTAGTAATGTCT